TTTTAAGTATTATTTTCAGATATTCGAGAAAAAATTTTAGAAGGACGTCAAATAATTGGCATAAAATTTCTAAAGATATAGTAAGTTCCTTTTATTCTAATAGGTCGTATCATTGTTGGCTTGATTAGTTCCTCTGGCTACAAGGCATTTTCAACCCACCCATTAGCTTGAGGATAATAAAAGTCACTCTTTTTAGTATTCGCAGGAATCCTGTTTACGATCTCATTCAGTTGTCCATTAGTCCAGGCGCTTTTCGCTTTTGGTACCATCCATTACTAGGTAAAGCAAATAGCCAGATTTGTGTTATCAAATTACATCAGCAAGAGGCGATGAACGTGGCTCAACATAGGCAACGATATTATTAAAGAATATAAGAATATAAATAGTATTTGAGCGAAAATGTATATATGTATATATACGAAAATGTATAATACTTTATTATATTTGTTATATTATTATATATACTAATAATACTTTGTTATATTTAATTTAATATTTAGTATAATATTTCAATTTAAATTCGCTTTTTAAAATCATATCATAATCAATCATATCATAATAAAATCATAATCAATTGTTTTTTTTAAACTTATTTGAAAGATAGTTAAATGGGATTACTATGTGATTATAAATAAGCTGAAATTTGATAAAAACACATCTAATCATTTTCTTGAAACTGGATAAAGCGGGAGTTGAAAGCATGCCCTCAGGCAATCAATTTAAATAATTTAGACGAATAGACGACTCATTAATTTAATTGCAGATAAATAGGTTTTATATGTACAAAGGCTGAAATTTTATTATTTCGAATTTACAATGAATAATGTAAATAATTTTATCATAGCTAGTAGGATGAAACCGGAGGATAGAATGGCTCAGTGAGTTGTTGCTCAATTGGGAGCGCCGATGCTGAAGTTCAATTCCCAGCAGTAAACTTGTACAAAATCTGGGTGATGCTGGTGACTCACCTGTATTTCTATTGCCAAGGAACTCCCTGGCATATTACTCAATTGCTACAAGCTAGTGGAGCAAGTTCAACTAGTAATTGTGAGGACTTTTGAAAAAAAAGGCTAAAATCAAACAAAGGGATTAGCCAACAATTGAGAAGCTTTTCTCATAAAACATTTTCAACATTTGTAGTGGAATTTCTCAAATTTTTCCTTTGTATTTTCCAATTTTATTCTACAGTCTAATTTTTTCAAACGAATTTCACCTTTATTTAAGTTAAATTTAAGAAGACAACTCGAACTTATGTTAATATCGACGACCACTGTGCTATTCCTTCAAATCTTACAAAATGCTCCTCATTGTTTCGAGAGATTTCCGATCGTCGAACTCAGGTATGTTCATTAAAAATAGGATTATTCATTAAATATTTTTACGGCGGCGGTTAAGAGATTAATGAATTTTATTGATATAATGTAATAGGAATTAGGATTGCTGGTTAGACTGCTCTTATTTTGAGAACGCCAATACTATGGTTCTCTTCCTTAGTGGAAATAAATTTGTTCTTAATAGAAACTGACTGGCGATTCACTTATGCTTCTTTTTCCAACAGTCGGAAATCGCCTAATTAACTCTTAATATTATAATAAATATATAAATATAAAATATTATAATAAGTATTATAAAAATATTATAATATAATAATAATATTATAATAATAATATTATTATTAATATTATTAATATAATAATAATATAATATAATAATAATAATATTAATATTAATATAATAATAATATAATAATAATATAATAATAATATTAATAATATAATAATAATAAAATAACAATATTGTAATAATAATAATAATAAATAATGGTAATTTAGAATGAAATAATTGAAAAAAAACGAACAATTAATGGAAATAATTTACGATTAGCAAATAAAGCAAAAGGCCTAGATAAACTTCATAATGCTATCGTAAATGACGACCTAAATTTACTTAAATCATTTTTCAAGTAAATTTTTATAATCAGTTTTTTTTGCTTCTATATAATATTAATCTATATAATATTAAAAATATATTAAATGGCAAAATAATCTGATATGAATTTTTATATAAAAAATTTTTTTCGCACTAAATTAAACTCCCCTCATTTTTCTTGCGAACATTATTTCATCATTTTCCATTTTATTTTTAAAATAATTGCAAAAAAATATGAAAAATAATATTATCAAATTTCTAAGAGAAAAACACATATTTTCAAAAATATTTTTGGTTACTTGAAAAAATATTTTAAATTTTTGATGATTTCTAATAGTTCTTTTGATAAGCTAATTTTTAAATATTTTAAATATTTTAAAAATTTTTATAAGCGGTATAGAGGCGTTTTTAAAAATAAAATAAAACAAATTTTTTTAAAATTGCTAAAAGTTAGAGTGGTAAATTATTAGAGATAAATCATCATTGTCAAAAATAAATATGATTGATGAAAATGGTCGAACGGCAATTCATTATGCTGCATTCAATGGAGCCACTCGTTGCCTAAAATATTTATTAAAAATATTGTCGATTTATACCAAAGTATTTTTAATATTTTTTATTATTTTCTAAACTCATTGAAAAATCGTCGACAAGCTGATGAAATTTTGGCGAAATCGGTCTCGACAAGACCTTGGAGAAAATTAAGCTTTTGCAAGTTGCTAGAGGCCAGTAAAATTGGCCAAACTCATCATCTTATCATTCATCATGTCATCGTATAATTTATCATTATTATTGATTATTGATAGATTATTGATAGATTATTATTGATAGATTTTTTTTATTAATCTTTTAATTTCTTGTAAAATTTAATTTATCACATAAAAAATTTCTTTTCACAAGTATTAAGTATTACGAATAACGATTTCTATAAATTCTATAAAATATTCTAATTTTCTATCTAAATTAATTTTTTATCAGCGAATAGAATGCGAATATCACCGAACGAAGAAAGCTAAAGCTTCTATGCGAATTGTCAACTAACTTAATAATTATCACTTTTATCACATCAAGTTCTTATCACTTTCAATTACCAATTTTGCTTTCGCCGTTCGATGATATTTTCAATATTTTTGCAGTTGATTTAGAAATAATTATTTCTTATAATTTTGCAGTTTCAATCTAAGAAATTTTAAATTTTAATAATAAATTTTAAAAAGGGATCATCGACTAGAGATAATTTCAATCTTCTACTGCATTGCGACAACGATGGAAATACTCCCCTGCATCTTGCTTGCCGACAGCAAGACACTCGATGTCTTAAAGTAATTTTATGAATATCATTTGTACATTTAAAATAATTTACCTCAAAAACCCTTTGAATTCTCTCTTTCAGTTCTTCTTAAATTTTTATTAATTGGCGTCCTCTATCGTCTAAATCCTGCCAAACAGCTATAAATATAGTAGTACCATTAGAAACCTCATGCAATTCTTCAAACCCTTTAAATATTTCACCTTATTTCTCTAAATTCTTTTCGGTTCGGATGTACACCTTAAACAATCCTCGAAAGCCAGCAGTTCTTTCGATTTTGCAATTCGCTATACTATAGTACTTCGTCACAGCCCAGTTGTTTTCGTTAATAATCCATCATAAGCCGGGATTAGTCACGTTTTGTGAAAAATTTCCAAAAGTCTATCCCATATTTCTTCTTCTTTAGCAATTCCCGATTCAGTTATAATCATCTAAAACCATCAGTTTTCTTTTTTTCTCCTAATTCTCCATCAAAAAGGCAAATCGTAAAATTGCGGATAGGATGAAGGTGATTGGAATTGTCTTTTAACTATCCATACTTAAATATCACTATCCTTTACTGTATTCTATTGTAAAATATTTGTGCTTTGACGAATCCGCTTCAAATTTGGTGTATCCACTAAAGTTGCGCAAATTGTAACTTTTCACGCAAAGTCATTTCAGTTGTCATTAATTTTTCCCAACAATATTCTTACCATACTTTTCCATTTCCCAAATTTGCAATCTTGTCGACCAGGCTGCAACATAATACTGATTTTAAAAAATGCTTATGGTTACAATTTTTATAATTAATATAATATTATTATGCCTTTGCAAAAATCCGGTCTTCTTTAGAATCCTTTATAACGAACTCTTCATACTCCTGAATCAATCCTTTTTTTCAATCCTTTTTAGCACCATATGAAATTCTCTTTTTTTCGCCAAAGATCACCTGTGGAACCTTTCATGCTATATTTTTCTTAAAGAGCCCTCACCATTACTGAGGTAAACTCGCTCCACTGGCTTGTCGCATTAGACAATAAGCCAGGGAATCCTTTATCGATAGAAAGACAGGTGAGTCGCTAGCATCACTCCGATCTTTGGACAGGCTAACTCCAGCGAGGAATCGAACATCAACATCGGCGCTCCAAATTTAGCAACGACTCACTCAGCTAATCTATCTCACGCTATATTAAAAATCGCTATGGCACCTTAGCTTATTGTCATACTCTGTTGTATTTTTTTGTGAGCTAATCTTTCTTTAACTAGAAAAAAGCAGGGAGGCCCATTTAGCACGTTTCGTTAGGATTTTTCCATCTTTCGATTTTTTGCATGAAAAGAAGAGAATGAATCGGTTTCATTTAAAAGACATTAATAATATGACATTAGTACCAATTAAGATAGGATTCCACGGAGGACATCTTTTAAGTTACTAGGTTAATTAATTAATTGCTAGTGCTATTGCTTGGTTCCATAAAATCTTCAAACATATTTGTCTTCAGACATATTTATATGCATATCATTTATCATTTATCTTCAAACTTATCATTTATTATTTATAAGATTTTTTGAATTTTCAGTTATCCATAAGCTTAAAGCATAAAATCTTCAAACACATTTGTCTTCAGACATATATTTATTTATATACATATCATTATATTTATATACATATCATATCATTTATCATTTATCTTCAAACTTATCATTTATCATTTATAAGATTTTTTGAATTTTTATAATATTTTTTAAAATATAATGAATTATAAAGCTATTGCTCCACTATATGATATCGAAGCTCGGTTGGACAACAATTGAAGACGTATTACAATTACAAAATTATGAAAAACAAACACCGTTACATTTAGCATGTTTGCATTTAAATTTAAATGCGGTACGAATGCTTATAACAAAAGATTTTGATAAAATTATCGCTAAAATATTTTCGTATCGAAAAAGGAAATTCGTTTCTCAATGTTTGAAAAAAACAGCAATTACGACAATCGGTTGGAATTTGAAAAAGTTTGCATTATTTCTTTTTTTATTATTTTTTATTTATTTTATTTATTTATTTCTTTATTTTATTTATTATTATTTTTTTATTATTTTTATCTTTTATTTCGTTATTTTTATTATTTTTATTATTTTATTATTTTTATTTTCATTATTTTTATTATTTTATTTATTATTTCTATTGTTATTTATTATTTTATTTTATTATTATTTATTTTATTATTTTTATTTATTATTATTTATTTATTTTATTGTTTTTATTATTATTATTTTTTATTTATTTTATTTTTTATTTATCGCATTATTTATTATTTTTATCATTATCATTATCATTATTTTTATAATTTTTGAAATTTAAAAATACTAATATTCTAACTTAAACGCAAAATAGTAGAATAAATGGCAAAGTGAATTTTTGCTATTATTTCGAAACGTCAGTATTAGAGTTCTATGCTCAATAGAAGTAAATTCGTTTTTTGAAAATTCGAATAGTGTTGACGACCCACTTTTAATATTAAATATTATTTAGAAGGCTGCAATTGGGGTGAAATTCTCAAATAACAGGAATTAATTAAAGGTTTGAGTAGCCAAAAAAAAATAAAAATCCTATTGGCTCAGTTAATTTATTAGGCATAAAGTTCAATATATAAGCCTGAGAAGAAAGATTCGGATAAAACCATCTTCTCTAATTTTTTAGAGGTATAATTGTGCATGAAATGGCTAGTATTCCATGTGTTTGTCAAAACTTGGTCTTAAAAAATGACTGCTTTAATACTAAAAGAATTTCTTATAATATCGACCACGAAGATATCGATGCACCACGTCGTCGATGCAGTCACTGTGATGAAGGTTTCTTTACTTTCCACACAATAAAATAATTCAATAATTCAAATAAATCAATTAGAGCGATAAAATCGTAATATCAGATTACCGTATACAAAAGTACCATATGGCTAACCATTTCGTCATTATCCATCCAGTTGTAAATATTATTATAATTATTTTAGCTATAATTCTGGAATCATTCCAAAAAAAATTATGATTCCACTTTTAAGGTGGCAAATGAAACATCATTCATTTGACCAACTCTAAGTGCGACTAGGTAAGATGTAAGGTACAATAAGATAAATAAATGCCGGAAAAAATTTTTTAACCGCTATACTACTCGATTATTTCTTATCACTTTATCATTTCATATCAATCAAATTTTCATCCTTCTAAGCTCATTAAGAATTATTAAAAATTTTTTCCCATCTAATAAAAAATGATATTTATTTTAAAAATATTGTATATTTACAGCTATGATGAATATTGTTAAATTAATAAGCGAACATTATCCAAATATTAAATTCATTCGTGATAAAAAAGGACAAACTTCCTTGATGCGCGCTGTTATACATGATTCGATCGGTATGACTGAGGCATTTTTATCGCTTGGAGTTGATACTGAGGTTTTTCTAAAAATAAAATTAGGCTTATCAAAACTTTATTTAATAGAACTAATAAAATTTTTTCATAAAATTAAAATTTATACGTAAATAAATCTCTATATGAGATTTTCCAGCAAATCTTAGGTTGTTTTATATTAACTTTTCTAATCTATTAAATATAAATAATAAATAATCATTAATAAAAATAATTACAGTTACAATAATCATAAATATAATGTAATAATTAGAATATAATAATTAAAATAAGAAATTTTTAAGGCGATTGATAGTAATTTTCATACTGCATTGCATCATGCAGCAACAAGAGGTTTATCGAGACAAGTGGTAATATTATTGGCAAATGGTGCATCACCAATGGCTCAAGATGGCTGTGGAGCGACACCAATGCATTATGCCGCAGTTCATGGATATACTTTATGCCTCAAACTACTTTATAAAGCCAGTCAACTGATTGTAGGTTTCCATGAAATTTTAATTCTTATACGTAAATTACGATATATAAATTATTAAAAAAATAAATGCTAATATTTCTATAAAAAATTTTTTCAAAGAATTTTCTTTATTCAAGGATAAATCGACGAAAAATGGACACACATCGTTTATGTGGGCCGCAATGAACGGTATGAATAATTCGTTGAAAGCAATGCTTTATATAAATCCAATGATAAATCGTAAAGATGAGGATAAGAATAAATCAACGGCGCTACATCTTGCTGCTATGAAAAATTTTCCTGGCACGGTTGAATTACTTATCAAGAACGGATGGTTTATTGAGGTTTGCTGAACTGAAATTTTTAGAAATCTGAAGTGGAAGATACAAATAAATACAAAATATAAGCAATAATAGAATAATAGGGCAAGATAAAAGTTTGATAAGGAGTTTGATAGGATAAGATAGTAGTTTGATAAGATAATAGTAGTATGATATTAACTTAAGTTAATACGTTAATACGTTTTTGATAAGTTAATACGTTTTTTAGCTACATCCGGTGAAATAGTTATCTTTCAAAATGAGCCAAGAATTTTCAAAATTACTACTAGGCCACTTTAAATAGAGGATAGCGTCATCTATTTCTCGAATTTATAGTTATTCCGCTTTATCACTCCTTTATCACTCCTGCCTCTCTATTTTATACCGATACTTTATCAATATTTTTTTAATCTCTCAAATTTGCCAAGCTTTGCCCTCCTATTGCCTTTAAAATCTATTACATCCCATTATGCCCAGCTAATTTCTTCTAATACTCCATCCAAGTTCGTTCGCTGTATTACTTTGGGTGCCTTAAATTTCCATATCTCATAACACAAATGCCATTATAGGGTCCAGAAATAATAGAAAATTTTCCAGAAATATTCTTTTCTTTTCTTCCTCCATCCCTCAAAATTCTTTTAATAGCGTGTTAAATCGCATTCCTTTTCAGAAGCAGATAGTGTATAATCCGAGTCCTATAATATGCCAAATTACCTATTATTGAGCTAGAGGCATCAAAATCTGGTTCCACTATTCTTTCTTAACAGACGTTACATTACCTGTTGTCATTGCCAATAGCGAGGGTCTCATGCTTTGATCTTTTCTAACAGTTCGACTTCGCCTTTAAGATCAAATTAGAGATCAAAACCAAAAAATGATAGTCTGCAGAAGTGAAGTATTTTGGTACATTGGTACCGAAGTGGATTTGGCAAATATCATAGAGAACTTTGAGAAATATTTAAAAAAACAGATTTTTAGGGGAATTTTAAAGTCTAAGTTAAATATTCTAAAATTTTATTTTTAAAGCCTTTGATTTAAATATTTTTGTTTCTTCGTTTATTATTTCTTTTTTATTATTTTATTTATTATTTAATAATTTTATTATTAATTATTATTTCCTTAATTCTTTTCAACTTTTCCTTTCATAATTGATAAAAACCCCGCACTTCCACCATATTGTCCCTTTAATTAATTCATTCTTCTTTATTTTTCAAGGACAGAAATAATAACGGTGACACTGCATTTCTTTGCGCTTCATCATCAGGTAATCTCGCTGCCATACAATTTTTGATTAACGACGATGCCAATATATTTGCTCGAAATAAGGTTTAATTTAGATGAATTAATTTCGAATTAAATTTGAAAAATTTCAAATTCAAATATTGGTCGGTGCTTCAGTGGTAAACAATTGTCACCGAGAATCGAGACTTGGGTTGGAAACCATTCGGACGGCACTATGGTCTAACAGAAAGAACCAAAGAGTGAAAGCGCTCTGTGGGTTCTTGCTAAATTCAGAGATGCTGAGATTCCACTTCCAGCAGCATTTTACTGGCCTGCTTTGTACATTCCAATATTGTACCTGTCAAAAAATCCAGGCGATACTTGGCGCAACTTACCCGTATTTCTCTCATCAAGTGATTCCCTGGCATATTTCTCTAGTGCGGCAAGCCATGGGACGAGTTTAACCAATAATAGTGAGTGCTTTTTAAAAAAAAAAAAAAAGCCAAACTTCAGGACGGTAACACTTCGTTACATTTATCATCACTAAACAAACACGATGAAAACCTAAAAGTTTTGCTTCCATGGTATAAGAATTATTCATTTGTTGATTTAAAGAATTCCCGAGGAAAAACTGCTTTACATCTTGCAATTGAATCATTAGCTGTGCAATGTGTTTATCAGCTTATCGAGGTTTATTTCCTTTCTTATCCATGAATTTTCATAAATTATGATAAGATATTTATAGTTGCAATTCAAATGGTGATACTGTGGTGCCATATTATGCAAACGTAAACACAAATACTTACTGGTACACAATTGGCACAATCAAGATTTGATAAAACTGATAGTTGATAAATTTTTCAGAAATCCTCCTTGAATATTTTGTTGAACCAAATTGGATCCAATTGATTCCATAAGTGCCAATAATATTCACAGCCAACAATATTCGTAGAGTTTAGGAAAATGTAAAATAAAAAAAAAAAAAAGATATTTTGACGCAAATTACGTGAACTACGTGTATTCGTACCTAAACTAAATAAAACTAAATAAACTAAACTAAATAAAAAAAATTGTAGAATGGAGCGAATGTTCGTATTAAAGATAGCGATGGATGGGATTCTTTAATGCTAGCTATTAAATCAGGTTCTTGGCCAATTTTAAAGATGATTTTAAGGTAATGTGTTGTTTTTTTTTTTTTCTTGCCTAAGAATTTTATAAGTAAAATATTTATATATTCGACTGATACTGATAAGCTATTCCAAATCTGATCATTATTCCTTCTCTTTGCAATGATCTTTTGGCAAAAAATTTCTACCAGTATTAATAGACCGTTAAAATAGCCTAATAGACTTTCTTTAATATTACAATATTTATGTCAAACGATTATGACAGGAAAATTTGGTATTTAGTTCATTTAAGAATATCTTCATTTAAAATTTACTTATTCTGGGAAATCGTTCTATGAAAAAATTGTTACAATAAGTTCAGATCTCCTCAAAACTATGTATGAATATATAAATATGTATATATATTTATATTATATGTAAATATATTTATTATATATATATATATGTATATACATTTCTATCAGGACGAGCGCATTGTTAAGAATAGTTAAGACAATGCGGAATCCTGAATCTTCCAGGCCTCTGATAAAGGACCCAAGGCTGAGTATGATTTCCCACCCATGCGGTTAGATTCCCCTTGTCTTTCGACTCCTTTATCTTCTTTCGATTCCCCCTTAAATCTATTCAATGTCGTATCATTTTAACTGGACTTATAGATGATTCGCCAGCATTAATTTTTAATTGAGGACTTAATACTGTGCTGTTTACTGGGAAATACTGGGAAAACGATGAGAATGGGAACGCAATAGCTACAATTAAATGAAAAGAGGTTACAGTGATTTTAATTTTAAACTGTGGTGAAATAGTAAAACGGTGCCTTTAAATACTATATAGTGGTGGTGTCAAGAAGAAAAATCCGATCTGACTGTATTCGAGTTTTTTTCATGAAAGCAATAAGAATAGCAAAGGATTCCAAGATTTCCCTTCCCCCCACAACGGGTTTTTAGTGATTATTACCTGGTTGAAATAAAACCATAGACGACTAACCTCGTCAGAAATAATAAACTTGCTTACATATTGAGGTATGACGAAGGAATGTAATGAGAAAGTAATTGATGGTGCGTGCACAAAATTTATAGGAAAATAACTGGATTCGGAGATTTCAAGTGCAAATGCAAGCAGAGGTTTGCCTGCCTCTGGGGGTGAAATTCCAGATGAAATTTCGTTGACTTGAATTTTTCGGTATTGGACGTATAAATATCAAATTATTAGCCAAATTATTAGATAAATATTCGATTGTTTTTTTTTTTTTTTTTTAAGAAATTCGCCAAATTTCAATTGTTTCTCATATAAGGACAATGAATCCACGTTGTCTTTGTCACAAAAATATAAAAATCATATTTTGACAACATTTTTGGTTTCATATGGAGCGTTACTACCTCATCAAATTTTATATATTTCCGCATGCAAGTTAGTTCGTTTTATTCGTCGAGTTGAACGAGAAAATATTTAAATGATATAATACAAAAAAATTGAAAATTTTTAGAATATAAAAATTTAAAATTAGAAATTTTAAAATTCCCCTAAAAAATTTTACGCTTTTAAATTATTCTAAAAAAGATTCAAAATTTTGATAATTTGAATTTTTAATAATTTTTCAATATTTAATATTTAATGAAAAATTATTTTAAAGAATTCAACGATGGTATCGTTCAAAATTATCGAAACGATTAAAATATTTTCACAGTGGTTTAAATAAAAATATAATTCTTGAAGAAATAATCAGTTCTATTTGAAAAATATATTTTTTCAAGACACGAAATATTCTTATTTAGAAAAAAATAATTTATAAATAAATAATGATAATTTACCATATTTATAGTCCATTTACTATTTCATTTCTATTGTTTTCTTCTTTTTTCCATTATCAATTTAAATTTACAAATTTCTAAAAAATTATAACAAATCGAGGAAAAAAGATGGTGGATTAAAAAATTTTATAAAATACAAAAGAAAATCATATTTCATTAATGAAAATGCATTCATTTTCTATTTCTATTTTTTATAATTTATATAATTTTTTATAATTTATATATATAACTTTTTATGGCACACTTTCGTCTCTTTTCTTCAAGCTTCCAAAAGTTGTTCCATTATACATCATTATATTCAGGATCTTTCAACGCCTAATCCTTCAAAACCCTGAAAACTCTATTTTTTCGCCTCAACAATTTCATAGAATGCATTGTTACTAGTTTTTTTTAGCTGCAGCTATAGATTATACCGAATTCTTTCACTTGTTTTATAAATCTTGTACTGCTATTTATAACTCAAAATAGTTAAAATAGTTCAAAAATTGTTTTTTATAGAGCTGTTAACAAGACTAAGTTTACGAAGTTTACTTTTTATGCTTCTATTTCTAAATATTCACGAAAAGATCATAAAAAATGTTATCTACATTCAGTTAATCAATTCTATATTTGATTTTAAAAAAGTATGATGATATAAAAATATCTATGAAGATAGTTGTTCTTCATCCACGATCATTATTTCTGTCTGTGACTGAATTCCTGTTGTAACGTCCTGCTTTCGCTGTTTTCGCGACTTTTTGCCAGTTTTAGCTCGAAGTTTTAGTTTTTCCTTAAAGTTTTAGCTCGAAGTTTTAGTTTTTCCTTAAGAAAAAAGATTACAGCGAAAAGAATTACTTGCAGAATTCTCGAAAGATAACATATATAATACCTGTAAAGCCATTTCTTGTTTTTCACGTTGTAAAGTATTTCGTTTTTCCATTTCTTTTCTTGTACTGCCATATTCATCTAATTTTTGTTTGACGTCACCTTCAGATATATCGATGTTAATTTTAATTGAAGTAACTGATATTCCAATTTATAAAGAAGGCAGAAATCCGTTTTACAACTTTTTGCATAATTTACATTCGCATAAATCTAACAATTTTGTTAAAAGTGCTAGTAATTTTATAATGTAGGCAGATCTAACGATTATATCGCATACTGCGATATTTTTGCATATATTGGCGACCGATGTAAAGTCCACTCCCGTGTTATTTGGGTAGGTGGACATAAAATAGAAATCTGTATCGTAAATTTACCAAAGAGAATTTCTTTATCAGGTATTGGGGCCAAATTTGATTGTGACATTGGTGATGGCTCACGACCATCCGGTTGCGACAAATTCAAAATCTCCTAAAAATTGATTATAAATTTTAAAGCTTGAAAATATTGAAATACTGATGATGATACTTTATTAATACAAAAAATCGTCGAAAAAGTTTCAAATCAGAACAAATTCAGAATTCAGATTTGCAAGAACTTAGTAACAAACCGACAGGTTTTTTCCATGTATCTCGCTTTGATCTTCGGCTTCATCCTTTTCTAAAATCAATAATTCTTTATCCAATTCATCATCCTTGTCATGAATAATCTTTAATTCGTACCCAAATTCTTCTTTAACTTTCTTTTTCATGAATGCTAATCGTTCAGTTCTGATTTGTTTTCGTTTTTTTGTTATCTGCAAAATTTTGAATTCAAAATTTTGAATTTTTCTTGGAATAATTTTTTCAACAGTGTTGTTAATTTCGCTGAAAAAGCCAATATATTTATACCAACTTTCTAGAAAAAAAGAGGAATAGGCAAAATTTATATTGATAAGTAGATGGAACTGATTTTGCCGTTCATTATTTTGGATTGAATGCAAATTTCATTTTCAGTTATTATAACTCTATCAACAAATGGTGTAAAATTTCATTGTAGCCTTCGGTGAAAATAGGGAAAAAGGACGGTTGATAAATAAGCAAGTTAAATATATGGAAGATCTATGGAAAACTCATCTCCCAATATGGCAAGAAAATGAATTATAATATTAATTGCATTCCATTCTGCATTCTACAGATTTATTTTATTTTATTTATTTATTTATAATTTTATTTGTCTTTATACAAATGGTCTTTGGAAAAATATTAAAGGATGTTAAGGAATAACAATAGTTTAGATAAGACGTAATATAACAAGGAAATACACCGAAATATGAGGGAACTGTTAAATGAGTCCAAAATAGCTAAAGTGACATAATTTATGGCAGCATTTTCATGGGCTTACAACAAATTATTTTGCAAATTCCGAAATTTAAATTCTGAAAAACAAAAAATTCATGGCGAATACAAAAAAATAAAATCTGTTGCGTTTGTGAAATTTCATGTTAATATTACCTCTTTATTTGCCTTATCCAAATCTTTTAGTATTGTTTCTGTGATAACTTTATCAAACCATTGAATTAAAGAGGCCAGCTGAAATAGTTTGAAATTGTAAAAGGAACGAATATGGATTCTTTAGCATAATAAAAATTAATTACCAAAAATATAATGAAGAAAGAAATAAATCATATTACTTTTTTATGAGTAGTTTCATATACGCTTAAGGCATCATTTAAAGTTTCGTCTGTTTCAATATCATTAAATGCATTATTTAAAGCTTCTTCCATTGCAAACATTTCTTCCTTCGTACAATAAGGAAATTGCACCTACAAAAATATAAATGAAATTTCTGAGGTTAAAAAAAATGAGAAAGCATCTCATTTATCTTAATTATCTTAATTTCTTGATAACTCACCTTGCCCAGATAAATTCGACAGGACTGAACATTTTGACCAGCTGCTATAAAATTATTTCTAGCTTCAGCTGCAGCGAAGTACCGCATTCTTGTATTCCTAAAAAATAATAAATCATCTGCTTAGATTTAAATACACTTCTTAAAATGAAATTTTAACAAATTAAAAAAATGCAATTAAAGAATATAAAGAACAAGGCTTAATAGAATTTAGCTTAATTTTAATAAATGATACATAGCATCAATATTATTCAGTTGTTTCCATCTGGCTATACCAAATGCCATTTGTGTACAAGCATGTACTAAAAGAACACGCGCATTTGTCCACTTGAATTTTGCTAAAGAAACGCGTTGCTGCCACTCAATTATTTCTTCTAATTCATTTTCCATTCGATTTTCTTTTTCACTCGCATAATCGTTACCAAATATCGAACCTAGAATTGTTTAAGAATAATAGTTCGATTAAAATTTAATATTTAAGCTTAATATTTAATGGTTAATGGAATATTTAATGGTTAATTTTTTCTACTTCAAGAATATAAATAATGGATTTGATTTATAAAAATTCTGATAATCGACACATCAAATTAATTGGGAAACGAAAAATCTATTTGCACAGTGTCAGTTCAATTCTTTAACTAACTTAATAAACGATCTTGTTTGTCATAAAGTTCGTGAAGAGTATCACAGTGTTTCTTATATATGTCGGCGATATGAGTAGCTTTTTCATATTGTTTTTTCGCACCAGCCATTTCCTGTCAATTCACCACTTATTTAGTCTGAAACTGGAAAAGAAAACAAAAAAATAATAATGTAAAAAATTAAAGAACCTTTTCAGCCAGTTCTTGTTTATTTAGCGCATCAAGATAATCTTTTTGTTCTTTATCAAAGCGATCATTCCACGTTCCCTTCAAAATTGTCTATTAATAAAATCAACATTAGCTTCAACGATGAATTTCTAATAAAATTTTCCTTTTCTTATTTAAAACAATATTGAAAATCAAAGTTCGCTACTCCTTCTATAAAGAAAAGTTATTAAAAAAGTTTCATAAAGTTCATATTTTACAAAGTTTTTAAAATTGCAAAATTAAGAATATACGAATATTTTATTGCAATTATTTATATTTTATTGCAAATATTTATATTTACATTTATTGCAACTACAAATACAAAATTGTAAAGTGCAACCTGTTGTTTTAGGAAATTTCGCACGGATGGCTGCTCAATATTTTCAACATCGGCTTTCTCTTTTTCGCTAAAATTATAAATAACATGGCATAAAGGAAGAAAAAATATTTGAAAAAAAATAAGTAAGACAAACGTATGTTTCTTTAATTCTTTAAAAGTAGCTTCAAGTTGATCAAGCGTTTTCTTTATACCATCAGCAAATATCATTTTCGATTCGTATTTTTTTAGAACGTTTTTCTTTTCTAAACGATGAATTGATTTCTCCATATTTATATAATCCTGGAAAAAACGATAAAATATTTCTGATAATCGCTCCTTTCATATGAAAAATATTGAAAGAAATTTTTTCCACTTTTCATTATCAGTTCTTTTTCTTTTATTATCAGTTCTTTTTCTTTTTTTTATCTCATTAGCGAATTTTATAATTGAAATTGTAGACTAATAAAATTCCTAGTTATATATGAAAACGTAAAAAACCTGAACAACTGCATCTGTAAAAGTAATCTTTTCAGTAGAACCTTCATCAATCGTACTTTTATTATCTTCGCTATATGGTTTTTTTTCAACAACTTCAACTGCTTTCACAGATTCCATTTTATTTTTATTTTTATCGCCTTTTATCTGAAAATTATTCAAAATAAATTCCTTGTATTCTTTTTCTTCGTTTATAGAATTTTTCAGGGTAATTACATAAATCCTGAAAAAAAACTTCAAACTAAGGAAATGAAAATGAAAACTAAAAAAAAAATACTTTAAAAATTTCAATTCATAAAACTGGAGAATTAACCTAAAAATTATCCAAAATAAAAAAAATATAAATGGTTAACGCTTAGTATTACCAAAAGAATACTGAAAGAAAGGAAAACTAATGTCGGAATTCATTAATACCCTATAAATATATATTTGTATGTCTCCTTATAAGGTGTGGGGCTGTCGTAAAATTGCAAAGGCATGATAGAATCCTAATCAGCATAACTAGTAAAAATATAAAAATAAAAAAAATATAAATATAATCAAGAGAAAACCTTTTTTTGGAAACTCGAAGCACTTCCCATATTCTCGTAAAGGAGAGGACCTTTAAATAAATCGACCATTCGTTTTCATTTCTTTGTTACCATGCGATGAGTTTTATATCTATATTTTATACGTTAACATTTTTACTAAGCAACAAAAAGCCAGTAAAATCCTAAAAAATTTTCTTTTTTTGACTTTTCATTAGTCAAAACGCTTAAAATATTGGAAATGAAAAAAAAAAGTCATAGAAAGACAAATAAAAATGAAACTGAAAAAAAAAGGTTAAAAATTTTAAAAATTTCAGTACATAAAACTGGAGAATTAACCATTTAAAAATATTTATAATAATAAAAATGAAATTGTAAATTGTATTAACGCATAGCATTACCGATTTGGCCTCGTGTTAACAATTAGTATTTGATATTTTTGCAAGGAAATCATTTGGCTATACAAGTCACCTTAGTATACAGTTGGACTCTCATGCGAATTTTTTAAGGACATACTAAAACTAAGAATTAAATTAAAATTTTAATTTTAAAATGAAATATCGATTCGAAACTCAGCCAAGAAAATTGAACTGAAGAAAAAAGAAATATTTAGGGAAATAAGAAAGAATTACTTATATTAATAACGCTGCCCCTCCAGTCGCTGCCAAATTATACCAAAATCAAAAAACTAATGGAAAAAAAGAATAGAATTAAAAAATATAATTAATTGCCAAATATAGCTTAAAATTAATCTCGCCGCTTTTACGATCAATAAAGCTATAACCTCTTTGGCCAAGTGACTCGCCATTCGCGCAACTCGCGCAACTCGCGCTCAATCGCCCACTCGCTTGTACCAACCAACCCTTCCGAGCCACTCCGACACGCCCACCCCCTTGGACTACACCGAATTGAACAAGCAATCATGGATACTGCTCACCAAATGAATTTCAAAAATTAACGCTTTAACGTATATCATCTGAAAATCGCCTATAAGATAGATTTCTCGCGACGAAAATTCTTGGCAACCGGCCAAGAAGGTTTGATCGCTCAAGCTGTTTTCCATACTTTATTGGATAAGGTCAAGAGGTGAGGTTTAAAGGTCAGGCTGAAGTTTGCCGATTTTGTTATTACGGATCTTTTAATAATAAAATTTCTTTTGTGTCCACTGTTCGCGTAAATATTTTCTAGGGCGCGAGTGATAATAATAATATTAATAATAATAGCAATAAAAATAATCACAATAATAATATAATAATAATAATAACAATAATAATAATGGTAATAATAACAATAATAATATAATAGTGATAATAGTAATAATAATAAATAATAACAATAATAATAATATAATAAAGAATGATAAAATTGTAATAAAGAATGATAAAATTAATAAAAAATTTTCATATTTATGGTAATAATAAATAATAAGTAGTAAATAATAATAAATAAATAATAGTAAATAATCTTTTGATCCGATTTTCCACCTAAATTTTATTTTATTTATTGATTTTCTTTTTTAAAAAAATTTTTTAAAGAAAAAAAACATTAATATAAAATAAAATATAATAATAAAATAAAATATTAAAATGTTTATAAAATATTAATATAAAATTTTTTTAAAATCAATTCATATTGCATTTTATTTGATACGAGACGAGTGATGAATGAAGAAATATTAAGAAATTATGTCCTCTAAGGGGCGAGACGAGCAATTGTGCAATTCGCTTTTATGTTCATATACGATAAATATAGTTTTTTAATCATCGGTTTTAATACGAGTTCAAAATGATTATTAGCGTCAATTATTAGCCTAGGATTATTTGTTGTTATTGCGTAAATTCATTATTATATAACTAATAAGAAATATTAGCATTGGAGTTATTATAATTTGAAGATTTGGACTGATAGAGTGAGAAAAGATTTTGAACATATAGGGAGATTAGCGATATATGGACTTAGACAGTGGAAAAAAAATGGCTTCTATTACTTTCAGATTGCGCACTTTAGAGATGTCTTATTCTTGTAGGCAGCGAGACCAGCCTAACCAGTAATGATGAGGATTAATAGAAGGAAAAATTTTAGTAGTATTTATTTAATTATGATAACAAATTATCAAGACTTTGAAGAACTGGAATCAGTAAGATTAGTGAAACTTCGTGAAAAAATGGCGCTGATAAGTCATTTGATAACAATGAGTTTGGAAAGTGGGTCTCCATTTTTGCTCGCTTTTATAACTTCGTTTCATTTTATTCTCAAATCGCTTTCGCTTATGCGAAAGTGAAAATATTGGAAGAGCCATTTATATTACTTACTTCACTTTACTTATCACTTATAATTTCGGTACTGAAATATTGATAAGGTCAACGTTTGTGTTTGGGCTTATAGTTCAAAAAGCATTAAAAATTTTTCGAGATATCGCTTTTGGGTGCCACTCGATTATTTTTTTAGTCGCTTTTTGTTTAGTTATTTTATATTCATTGAACAGCTGAGTTTATCTGTGGAAAATTTAAGAAAAATTTTTACCAATCCAATTAATTGTGATGAAATGCTTGTTGTATAAATTTAGAATTATTAAAAATCTTTAGACGACGATGAATTCAGCGCTATTGGTATATGATGCATGTGGAAATCCGTATCAAATGACGACAGCTTATCATCCGTCGAATTTACTTCCAGCTGTTGTGCCATTTGACAATCCCATCTATGAAATGATTCCTCATCGTATATTTGTTGGAGGATTTCCTGCAACGGTTCATCTTTTTGATTGTTTTTGTTCGTATATTGCTACTATACGTAATTTTCATTTAAATCTTACTACCATTAATAATTTAGTTTAATTGTCAATCAAATTTTAGACAACAGAATTAGATCTTCGAACATTTTTTGAACAATTTGGTCATGTACGTGAAGCAAAAGTTATTCGAAGTAATGAAGGAACATCGAAAGGATATGGTTTTATTACTTTCGATTCTGAAGAAGAAGCTAAAGCTGTTATGCAAAATAATGTTAGACTTTTTAGATGTTGCTATAATTTTTGTGAAAATTTATAGTCTTTTTAAAAAGATACGATGAATAGCATTTTTTTTTTTTTTACAGAACCAAGACTTAGAAAAACTTGAATTTAAAGGTCGTCGCTTGAATCTTGGCCCAGCAATGCGTCGTATAGTTCGAGGTCTCGTTATTTTTAAAATATAATTAACTCTCTAGATTTTTACAATTTTTTATTCTCATTACTTGTTTTTTTCATTAAAAATGTAGATTGTGGAATAGCAGCGTCAACGGAACATATATTCGCTGCAGCTACATTAGGAGGACTTACATATGCGTATCCTCGATCGCCCTTTGTTATTTTACCACCAGGACACATTCAGCCGCTCATTTATTCGCCAGTTCAAACAGCACCATCTCCATTAATTTCTGCGGTTGTATGTTTTGATAATTATTCTAAAATTTGTTCATATTTTATAAAGCAACAATCATTTTAACCAACGAATAATACAAATAACAAATTACTTTTTGTAATTTCCAGTTAGAAAATTTTGATTGAAATGGCATATATTAATATTTTTTGAGGAAGCTGGCGATGGAAGAGTTCAACAACAATTCGCAACTGGTGCACCTCTTATTATGGTACCTCCAGCGAATGTTAACGGACAAGCTAATTCACCACGTAGCACTACTGTTTCAACCGCAAACGTTTCAAGTGCTATACAAACAACAACAACTTATCAAACGAATCATTATTGTGTTGCAGCTAGTCCTATGCAACAGATTGCACCAGTTCAACAACAGGCTCTTACACCAGTCTTTTATTTTTATTCTTGTTTGATTTGAATTAAGTATTTATTTAGCAAAATGGATATTTTAATAAGTTGAAAATAGTTTCTTACTGTTTATCTATGAATTGAATTCTCTCTTTTTTGCTTTATTATTCTACTATCTATGTACTGTTATTATCAGATCACTCCATCGACTGCGAATCCACGTGGAATATTTCCACAGGCAACATTTTATTCTCCAGCTGCCGTTTCGGCTCCGCCGAATGATATGACACATTATTCGCAAATGACTACACCTACTTATTTTTTCGCTCCAAGTGCATTTCCAGCAGTAAGTTAAAAATTAAAGAATAAGTTAATGACATGGAATGAAAGAAGAGTGTACTGGTTTTCAGAGTGATATTGGTGGTCCACCACTGGCAATTTCAACTCCACATGTGATGCTTACTCCACAGACTACACCTCAACATTTTTATCATGATGATGGAGTTATGGGATCGTGGAATGGATCGGAGGCTCGTTTTTCAAATTTACATCGAAATAATCATTCTCTAGCTCTGGATGGATTATTGGAATCATATATTGGAACCATATAAATAAAATTTTCAGATTCGTCAAAAAAATAGTTGTCGACGTAGTCCAGTAAAGTCAGTGGTTCCCAACCAAGTCAATGCAGTGGGAGTACAATGTGGTAGGTTTTTTTTGTCTCGCTATTCAAAATTTTTTATAAATTCTCTACTTTCTTTATCGGAAATCCGTTAAATTTTTATGTTTTAGATTCTAATGAATTTACGTTTTTTTCAACGGTATAAGTTGATTTAATTGAATTTATTTTAGAACACAAAGAGAATAGTGGACAAACGTCAACAACGGCAATGAATGGCGGAATAAAACAGTAGTGAAGAGAAAAATTACATATTTTTTTGAAGCTTGTATTGCTAATTATTTTTACTAATTGTATTTCTAATATTGTTAATTGTTTTATATCTCAGTGATTGATTATTATTTCTGAGATAACCATGTTTGTACTTAAAAATTTTTTTTTTCATAAATTATTTGAAGTCATTAGTACTTCACTTTCTTTTAACCCTTTAAAATATCCTTTCTTGTTTTGTAATATTTCGGTATTTTGCTTATTGTTGATAATTTTATCTCATTAATGAAGTACCGATATTACTCTTCATTATCGATATTTTTCATTTAAATATTTTAGCGAAGCTGTCGAATGTTTTATCAAAAAATATAGCGAGATATTTTTTTTTTTATAAAAAAAGATTGTTATATTTTAGCCATTTAGGAAAGAATCATTTAGGAAAGTGCCTTTGTTTTAATCATTGTTTTCCTCAAATCTCTTTGTTTTTTTTTTTGATATCCATTTAGATATAAAATCATGGAAATATGTCGTATAGCTTGCATGCATATTTCTAGCTGATGATCATCTATTGAATTAAATATGAATAAATATAGATTATTTAGGTTAAATTTTATTATAATAAATAATTTTCATTGTAATAATTTTCTAATAATCAACTATATGCATAAAAATTTAGAAAAAAAGAATGGAATCAAATGGAGAGATAAAAAAATGCTAATGAAGCCAGCGTAATTTCCTTGAATAGAATAGATTATGATTGGTTAATTCGTTCGTTCAAAATTAAACATTTACAAATCAAATCAACGAGAATAAAAGTATATATTTATAATTTAGCAATAAAGAAATATTTAAAAGCATAAAAAATAAATAATATTTTAAAATTTATCATCTTTACTGCTTTTAATCTAAAGTTTTTCGCTTAAAAATTAAAAATTTAGAAATATGAAATATTTTACAAAATATATATACAAAATATCACGAAAAAATGATGCTGAATTTTAAAAGACTTATATAAATTATAAAACTATAAAAAAATTAGTATAAAAAATTCAAATGGTAGTCGTTTAAAGAAAATTAAAATTTTTTTTCTTATATACATTTTTACAAAAACAAAAAATCTTTTATAATTTTTATTTTATTTTATTAAGTATACTATTTCATTAATATAATATAGTTAGTAGTAATTATAGTAATAAAATAAATTAAACGCCTAAAACACGGAAATAATAAAAAATTCAATTGCAAATACCAAAAAATTACCAAAATCTTTTAATACAGGCACAAATCTTAAATAAATTATACGAAATAAAAAATTATATCACACTAGTAGGGAGACATTCAAAAGCATCAGATGCGCGTTGATGAAAGCCATTCAATACTGATGATGGAGATTGCTGGATTTGTTGTTGCTGCTGTAATTGCGACGATGATTTAGATAACCGGTTATTTGTGTATTTATCAGTGTATTTTCGTAATTTAGCATCATTATTCTTGAGCATATCATTAGGATGGCAATACTCTCGAGCAGCTAACGAGCCAACAATTAATCCACCGGCTACTATTCCAGAATAAGCATTTGATGACGGAATACCATATGAAGAATCTAGACCAGCGTTTAGCAATATAGAAACGCAATCATGAGCGCCCGATGTTTGCGCATGCCACAGTGCTGATCGTCCCATATCATCCAACATATAAATATCAGCATTGTACTAAAATAAAAAAAAAAATTTGAATTTCAACCGATCGCGATCTTTCGAAATAAAAACAATGAATGTTACAAAATTCTTTGAAATTTTTCTATAATTAAATTTAGAGTTTTAAAAAAAAGCAAACAAACCCAAACAAGTAATTGTGTAAAAATAGCGGAAGCATTCGAGCATGCAATATGAAGAGCAGTACGTTTATCGTTTACGTCCACAGTAGTACGTAAATCATTTTCATTACATAAAGGTAATATAGGTAATAAAATATTGAGATCATTATTAAAAACAGCATCCAATAATTGTATTCCATATGAACGATGACTATCTATCGATTTTGTATTGAAATAAGATTTCTTTTCATATTTCATCTTAATCCATTTTTCTTTTTCTTCGCTAAAATATCAGAAAAAAAAAATATTTTAGAAAAAAAGCTGTTATTACAAGATGAAAGAAAAAAAGTGAAATCTTTCAACATTTTCCTCTAACTGTTCGATAATTTCATTGCATGAATTTTTCATATCAGTTTATTAAATTTTTATTAATTTTAATTAATTTATTAAAAATATTTTTTATTAATGAAATTAAATGAAATTACTATGATGAGTCGGCCGTTGGTTTTTTATTAACTGGAGCGTTATACTCCCATATGGAATTTGTTTTTCTATTACCAATCGCTTCCATAACCAATAACCATTCGATTCTGAAATAAATTATAAATAAACTGTAAAAAAAAAACCGCAAATTCGCTGAGACTATTAAATTTTCGAGCGGAGACCATAAATATTTATGATTTTCATTAAAATTTGCGTCCTAAAAACAAAACTTTTAGTTTAAAAATAAACTAAAAAAGACTTACCGCCAATCATCGAGGTCGAGTGATCGTACCTTCGAAATATGCGAACCTAAATTGCGGTGTACACCAGAACACTGAATACAAATTAAGGTTCCTAAATTTAATGATGCCCAATCGGGATTTTCGGCTCCACAATCAGCGCAAATTTCATTTCCGGGTATTTCCTTTAATGCTTGAATTTCATTACGGCTACTATGTATTCGCTTATTTTTTTGCTCTTTATCGCTCATTTGCGATTGTAAAGTTTTTTCAATTATCTTTTCAATAGCCATAACCCATTCGTCGCGTTCTTCAACCGATACTGCAGAAAATTCCCAACGTTTTTCATCACAAGTCAATACTTCAAATTCACAATCAATCTCTGAAATTTATAATTTTAAATTTTTTTCCTCTTTCAGACTATTTCTCTCAAATTATTTTCAATTGCATAGCAGATAAATTATATTATAAAATGATACTTTTACCTTCATCATTATTCTTGGCATTTGAAGCACCTCGCCGATGAATTTTTTTTCTTTTATTTGAAATTGCCGAATTCGGTGTAACAATTAGATTATTCGTTCGTTGGCTATTTAATATTTGCTGATCATCACTGCATTCTAAAAATTTTCAATATCTTTTTTTCTTCCTCGACAATATTAACTTAGAATGAATTTAAGATATTTCAAATTTATTTTAAAATTATTAAAATTATTTTAAAATGAAACTGAAATGAATATTAAAAATTTTTATAAAATATAACAAAAAAGCATGGACGATAATGATAATGAAATGAAATAGTTATCAATAATATGCCAATGAATAGAAACCAACACTTTCACTATTAAAATAAATAGAAGACCAAAATTTCGCCTAAAAAGAACAATAAATAAATAAAAATAAAAATAGATACCTTCAAATTTTTTCGATCGTTCTTCATTTTTATTACTAGCAAAGTCAACTGGCAAATTAACTGGTAATAAAGTTTTATCACTTTGTTCAAATGATTCGCGCCGAATTACATTAATATCATTATTGACAAGCTGATTTAATGAATGTTGAGTAGAACGTGGTCGTTGTTGACCAATAATACGTACAGTAGCAAGACCAAGATATATCTCTTTACTTGATGATTCTTTATCCATATAGTCCTTTAATGATTATTGGAATCATCAAGGACAAAAATGAGAATAACGGCTGAAAAAATATAAAAAAAAAACTAACTTTCAAATTTTGATGATACGACAATCGCCCATCAGAATATAAGCATACATATTTTTTCTTCCATTCTTTATTTAAAGTTTTACTACTTCGTTTATAAAGATGGCCTTGTTTGACAGGTATTGCTCGCCCAATACCCATATTTATATCCTTGTGATTTTCATTCTCTCTAGTGCGCTGAAAAAATTCGCAATTATTTTATTATTTATATATCATAAAATGCATTAAATATCGTTGTAATAAATATATTACTTATTCATATTTAAAATTATTAATTATAATGGATAACAGAAAAAAAAAGATTCGAAGAAAAATAAAAATTATAAAAAAACAAACAAATAAATTGGAAATCCTCCTATTCTTCCGATGTAAATTAGGCGTTGATAATGGTGTTTGAAGATGATTTACAGCTGTCGTAGACACAAAATTACTCGATTGAATATTACTATCAATAAATAATTCATCGCGATTATATATACTTTGATCCAAATCGTTTTTACTTATTTCATGCATTTCTCGTGAAGAATTCATATTTTGTAAAGCAATAATACCTAAAAATAATAATACCTAAAAAATGAGAAGAAATATAAATAATTCATTCTTTAGATATATTAATCTCGTTCGCATTCATTATTTTTGGTTTAATAAATAGTAAATTTTATTAATTTATTTACTATTTATTAAACCAAAAATAATGAATGCGAACGAGAATAGCCAATTTTAAAATATCGTTAAGATACATATAAGATAAGATACAGATCAACGATTTGTTCTGCATTTTTCGATTTTTTATCAAAAATATTGTGAAAATGAAAATGGAATTTCAGTGATTTTTGATTCCTTTCACAAATTTTTGATATTATTGATGAAATAAACAATATTACACTAACTATGCGTAGAAGCAATACTACTGGTGCTATGTGCCGGTGATGGTGAACAATATTCATAATGTGAGGATCGTTGCATTTTCGACTGATGACCGCCTGTAAATAATAAATAAAGAAAATTTATTATTTATTATTTATTAATATAGATATTATGATTCCAATTCTAAAACTATAAATGAAAACCCTCAAACATAAAGTATTTTTTAAATGATTTATATTACAAATTTTTAAATTATTGGAAAGTAATTCTGAAAATCGGAAGAAATAAAGGTTCAAAGAACAAGTGATTCATGAAATATTAAAAGTAACATGAAATATAACGAATTTAAAAAAAAAAAAACTTCGATGAAGGACTTGACCACTGCAAGGAATATTTACGGGTGTATAATATGATGCAGATGTACACTGGTGAATATTATTTTGGCAGTGATCCTAAATGAATGAAAATGAATGAAAATTATATTTTAAATATAAATAATATAATAAAATATAATACAAAAAACAGCGATATATGGATTTAGACAATAGAAAAAGGAATGATTTCTTTGTCAGTCAGTGATTTCGTTGGGTAGAATAGCCTGGAATCTTGTCCTCGTAGCCAGTGAAGCTAGCCTAACCAGTAGTTATTAAAAGAATACGAAAAAATTTATAAAATATAAAATTTATAGGATATATATATACATATATACAAAAGAGTTCATTTCACTATAACCGTTAATTTAATTAATTCTTAACGAATGAACTAATCAGTTCGCCAGTTTTTGAGAGCAATGAAATTTTTTCTCTTCAACATAAAATTTCTGGTTTTGCTGACTCCACTAGCTACTATCATTAGACTCCTTTATCGGAGTGCCATTCGAAAACATCTGGACAATTTTCGATGACAGGTTTACCCTCAACTAAGAACAGGAACTAAAAACAGGAAATGTTGCCTTGACTTTATTCAAAGCAACATACCAGTCTTCGAACATTCTGTTCCTATTTTTGTAGCAGTCTCCAAAAATTTAATTAATCAATGGAAATATTTTAGGTAAATATTTATGAAAAAATTCGAAAAAAATGAAGGCGAACATTTAAACGAGGTGTTGTTGTTGCTATCTGCTTTCGAATATTAGGTGCTAAACCAGACGAAAAGAATTTAAATCGTTGTTGGATTATCTTCTGACAAGCTAAAAATTGGTATTCGATAGAAATTAAATCGAAAATTAACGGATTTCTATAAAATAATAAATAATTTATAAAAATTAATTGCCTTGCTAAAAATGGAATTGCACGCAATTGCAAGCCTGTTTCATTACCAACTTCAATTTCTATATTTTCTCAAAGACCCTCATCAATCCCTCGAAACTATTGCTTAATGTCATAAATCCTATATTCGTTTAAAACCATGGATTTGATTGCATTCATTCAATCCAGGCTCTCAGATATTCCGTTCTTTCCGTGAAATTTCCCCAAACTTTGAAATTTTCTCAATTCCATGTCGAAACCAAACAATTAGAAGTTCTTCATCATTGAAAAGTTAACTTAATAACCAAATCAAACTAAAGAATCACAGATTTTAGCTTCTGTTCTATTACTATAAGAGTTGCTTTCTTTTTTTTACCACTCATAAAATTCACCGGGTTTAGGAGAGTCCCAACTAATCTCTAATTTCTATAGGACAGTAAACTATTCTATGTTTTTTTTCATTTTTTATCTCGTTATAATGGCATTTCTTTTAGTAAAAAAATATGATGCTAAAAACCTAACAAATTGATTAATTAAAATTGGAAAGTGGTTTCAAATGGTTTAAATGAAACAAAAACCATATTAAAAAATGATATTGACAAAGACTATCGGATGAGTCACCAAAATTACCCAGGTCCGTATCAGTATAAATAATAATAAATAGACAAATATAATTGTTTCTTAGCTTCGACACCAAATAATATTTAATATTTAATTTAAAATTAATTTAAAATTAATAATGCTTAGGCGAAGTATCGTATCTACTTTCTTCATTTTTTCCTTCGCCATCTTTTATTTATTTATTTAGAACTATCGATAAATTCATTAATTTACTGAATATAAAAATAGAAAACTAGAAAAAAACTCGACTATATATATATATATATAACAAACCATCTTTAAAAACTCGTTCAACGTTAAGACCATAAGTGGAACAAGTTTCATAATAAGCTGTACATTTTGGAATACTTTTTGCCATTTGTCGACCTTCTTGTTCACTAATAATTCGTGGATTTGCATCATTTATTGAATCCTATAAAATAATCTTTGATCATTTTGGTTTTCTATTTTATTTCCTTTGTTTATATCATTTCACAATTATAGATTAAAGTAACGATAAAGTAATAAATATAACGCAAAATAAAATTTGAATACAAATAATTGAAATTATAAAACCAATATAATTACACTGGAAAATGTTAATTCCATAGCATTTTTTCAAGAATATTTTTATGAATAAATGAAATAAATTAAAATAAAATAAAATTAAAAACAAAATAAAATAAACAAATGAAATTAATTACTTCGTGATGCAATAATTTCTAAATTTCCCTATATTTTTATCTAAATTCTAATTTTAGGATAAAAATTACGAAACCATTTCACTTTATTCCTCTATATAATTTCATAATTTCCCATAATTCATAATTTCTTCTTCTATAATTTCAGTTCAAAAAAATTTCGTTCTATTTCTATTTGCAGTTTTTATACGAATTTTTTTTATTTTATATTTATTTATTATTTTTAACATAAATTCAAGCACAATTTTTTGCCCCATTTACCCCATTTTCTTTAAACAAATACCCTGAATTCTTTAATCAAAAAAAATTTTAAACCGATTAAAATTTACCCCCAAAGAAATAAAAAAAGAAAAGAGAGAGAGCTAATAACGCTTGCGCTTGCATGATTTTTTGTCTTTTTTCTCGCCACTACCTCCCCAACTTCCTTCTTCATTTCCCTTACCCTTTCATCATTAACATTAATTATCGCCGTATTCTTTTCACACCTATAACTGGCCCAATCTTCTATATTTCTTTAATCCCCTTTAATATAACTCTATTTTTTCATCAAATAAATTATTACCAAATAGCTGAAAAATGCCTTAGAAAATTGAAACGCCCATGGCAAGAAAAATCGAGCAAAAAATGAATTCGCGTAAAAATTCTTATGAAATTTTTAATTTTTAGATCATTCGAAATAAACCTCAGTTAAATTAATAAATTCTTAACAAAAGAAATTAGAATATTAATTTGAAACAACAAACCTGTGTTCCAACTAAAATAATAGGAATATCGCCTAAATTACGATAAGCATCCATTTGTTCATAATAATTAAATACCGTTTCAATACTTTCCTGATTATCCAAAGAAAAGACTAATATCAAACCGTCAATCCAATGTGAAAACTGAAATTCTTAATTTCAGTTAGAAAAAAATTAAATACCATAAATAATTAATTATAAATGCAATAAAAAATATGAATATTAATTACAGTTATGAATGTAAACATAAAAATTAGTGATATGATAAAATAAATTCAAATTACTATTTCAAATAAATTACTATTAATACTAATAAATATTAATAATATTAATAAATATTTATCAAACTAAATAAATAACCAAATAAACAAATAAAACGAGAAAAGAAATGAAATGATGATGAACAGCAGCAAAGAGTGAATCTGGTAGAGGACTTAACGAAATAAAAATGTGCTTAATCAATGAGAGTGCACATACTTGTATTGCCATCTGCCATAAAGTTGACTGATACCATCTGGCTTACAATTACTTAAAATTAAACCGAAAAAAAAAATCAGTCCAAAAATCTTATCGGAAATTAAGTAATAATTCTAAATAAGATAAAATTAACAAAGATTATTGCAATATCACAAGAAAAAAAGATGAAATTACAAAATTTCCCAATTTTCTAAACAATCGTCAAAATTTTCTTTTTCCACAAATCGTTCTAAAAAAAAGCAAATGCGTTTTTTTTTGAACATGAAATTATCTTACAAAGAAAAAAAAATTATCTCATTGTATCAAGGAAAAATTGGCGCAAAGAAAACCATCGCAATTATGCATGGAAATATAGTAATTGCCGATTCTCAATTAGAGAGATCTGTGGAGGAAAAAAAACTGGTTATAACAAAGAAAAACTTATATCAAAGGATAGAGTCAAGTTCAACTCTCTAAAATTATTGGCCAACCATAACAAAAAATCTGTTATTAATAGATTACCAATCTTTGATCATTCAATCTACTTTTTTGGCAGTTTACTTTTAAATAAAAAAATGAACTGTATGAGGAAAAGAAATAATAATGATAGTACTGTAAAATGATATAATAATGATAATACTTATAATAATATATAATATAAAACTGTATAATATAATAATATAAAACTGATAATAATGTAATATATAATGCATTAAGAGAAAAAATAGATCAGATATGACGACAAAGATAATGCTTTTTGTGGTTTTTAGAACCTCTAGCTCTTTGGTTACTCACCATTATAATCAAGGTACTTGAAAGGTTGATTTACAACAAAGTGCTTGCTTATCTTGATGCCAATAATTTCATATCTTCTTATCAGCATGGCTTTTGTACAAAAAAATCTACTTCTTCACAAATATTGGCAAATCTCTCTGATTGGTCAGCATCAATTGACAATGTAAAAACAGTATCAGCTGTGTACTTAGATTTGGCTAAAGCTTTTGATACTGTTTCCCATAGCAAATTACTGGTCACTCTTAATAGTTATGGCATAGCAGGGGACCTCTATAACCGGGTGTCAGATAACATAAAAGATCGTTATCAGGCTGTAAATACTAACAACACTCTTTCTGACATGACACCTGTTAAATCAGGCGTTCCCCAAGTTGTATTGTTGTATTGCGCCATAGCTATTTCTATTATATATAAATAATATCACCACAGTGGTAATAAATTCTACTATTTTTCTTTATGCTGATGATTGTAAAATTTATTATTCTCATGGTAGAGCGGATAGCCTATCTCCACTGCAGGAGGACCTCAACAGAATAGCTGACTGGCTATATGACAGGCAAATTACCCTTTCCTTTCAAAAATGTAGCGTTCTTCACATCAACTCTAAAGGATTCGACCTTCCTAACTTTTTTATAAATGGTAATTTAATCAATAGAGTCTCACATATCTCCGATCCTGGAATAATCATGAATGAAAATCTCGATTTCGATCTTCACTGCTGAACCATAGTAAAAAAATTCTCAAAAATACTAAATTTTATTATTCGTTCGTTTAAGAACAAAACTGAAAGTTTTCTTATCAAATTATACAAAGCATTCGTTCGGCCTCTTCTTGACTACAATACTACATGTTATTCCCCCGAGAGATCGCAAAACAGGTAAAATAATTGAAGAACTCCAAAAATATTTTCTAAGACGCCTCTCTCCTAATAAAAATTATAATTTTAATTATAAAAGAACACTTCTACCACATAACATGGATTCTCTCTCGGTTCGTAGAATTAAACAAGATTTAATTTATACATATAAGATTCTGTATGGTTATGTTAAACTAGACTGCTCGAAATATTATAACTTTAGACTAAATTTGAATCCAACAAGAACTAATGGCTTAAAATTACTAAAACCTATATGCAAAATTAAACTAAGGATTCATGACTTCTTTATTCGTACTATTAACTTCTGAAACAAATTACCGAATGATGTAGCTTGTGCGTCATCCTTAGCTGTCTTTAAAAAAAGACTAGATAATATCATTTACGATATTATTTAAAAACAAAAAAAAAGAGAAGAGTTTACACCATGCAAGAACTGCAGGAAGTGAGAAATCTCGATTTTATCTTCAGGTTATATATGTTACTTCGAATTGTACTATATTATATTGATCTGTAATTTCCTCTTTAAATTGTTAATTTTTGTCATATAATTGTTTTATAAATAATTTATAGTTTATTATAGTTTTTGTTTATGTTATTTTTTTTATGTTTTCTTATTCTGTTATTTTAACTGTTATTAATACAAGCACATGGCGTTGTCGCCCTGCTTGGCTGGTTATCAAAAAATAAATAAATAAATGAATTATTGACGAGACGACTAGCTCCACTGGCCTATCGGACTAAACAGAGTCCTCTAGCGATAGAAATACAAATGAGCCGCTAGTTTAGAGACATTTATAACAAAAGAGAAATAGATATCGACAATATTGATAATAATTTAAAAATACAAAAATTCAATAGATCATTATTAAATGTCTCTAAAAAATTAAAAAATTAAAATAATATGAAATAAAATGAAAATATTTTGTGAATGAGAACAAAAAACGAACCTGATAATCAGGAAGGCTGTTACCTTCATCTCTAATTAGTAACAAATAACTTTGACCATCAATAACAACTTCTTTTTTGAATCGACCACCTGTAAATGAACTTTCGATATAAAAAAATTTATCAAACAATTTGCTTCTTTTCTTTGTTTTTTAAAGATCTAAACCAAAAATCCTAAAAACTATATAGATTTATGAAAAAGCGGTGTTGTCGACATATATTCTATTACAGCTTATATGCGCTATATGATAAATGGGAGAAATGTGGGCAAATTAACATCTGGTCGCAAGGTCAAATAACGATGCTTTAAAGTGGCCGAAAATAGCACATCCATTTCTTATTGTGGATCAAAACATTAAGATTTGTGGTTATAAAAAATGAGGGATCAGTAATGTTTTTCAGCTATTACAATAAATACCATTCTAATACTTAAGTGGAGTTTTGCAAAGAAAGAAAAAAAGCTATAGCAATCAAAAAAAACTGTTGTACATTCCTTTTATAATTTTTTTTTGGGGATGGTTAAGGTATATGTAATGGTTATAAAAAATTATAAAAATATGATTTAAAAATATAATTTAATATATTTAATATAATGTGGGAAAATAAAAAGAAAACTAACTAACCTTCAGGTGATTCTTCATTGGTACAAACGCCTGTTAAATAACGATGTACAAGCGATGTCTTTCCACTATGCAACGATCCAACTATTCCCTTGAAATTTAATAATAAGCTAAATTATTAAATCAAATGAAAAATAATTCGCAAAATATCCAAATAATAAATCAACAAAACTTTGGCCTTCCTATCCTTCCTATTTTCATTAAATCGAAAATATTAAAATGAAAATGTCAATTTGAAAAGTATTTTTTAAAGGAACGATGAAAATATTTAAGCTCTTTTTTCTTAAATAAGTATACTAGGATTCACAAAAATTTTTTTTGCTGAAGAAAAATGATTCATGAATTCTACTGGCGATAAATTCTACTGGCGATGAAATTCAATAAACAATCTTTCTATTTTTCTCAATTTCTTAATATTAATTCTGTAATAAATTATTAATCTTTAAACCTAAATTATTTATTAACCAATGATAACTTTTAGAATGCAAAAACATCATACTAAATGTTACAACAACAAATATTCAAAAAATAATTGAATTAACTGAGAACATTTTCCAATTACTTTATATTTTCGAGTAACAGTGAATTGAAATGACTTAATAAAAAATCATTAACAAAAAACTAAAAGATGGCTGAAAAAACGTTTATAAATGATAAACAAATGATAAAGAAATTGAAAGAAATACTTTATAGAAGTAAATAATTTCACAAAAAAAAGAATAAATAAAAAATATACCAATTTCAAATCAATGACTGAACGACTTAACGTCCATTCTTGACTGTTTACAAATGCATCTAAAATTCATCTAATTTTACATCTTTTGTAATATTTAATAATATTTATAGTTAATATTCGAGATAAAAGTTATGTTTTCTCAATTCTCAAATCTATATTTCTCATTTATCTTTTGGTACGAATGAATCATATTTCAGGAATTTTCTAAAGAAAAAGAAGATTCAAAAATTAAAAATTTACCAAAAATAACAATGAAGATAAAAATAAAAAAAGCAATGTATAAATATAGTTTTTAGAAGTAATAGAATTTACTTAATATAAGACATATATAAAAAAAGAAATTTAATAATTTTAATAACAACTATTAAAATGTTTGTATATATGAACTTAACAAAAGAAATTAAAAAACAAATAGTTAAAAAATTCTCTTCGTTAAAAAAAAAATTTTATAGCTGGAAGATATATACTACTCACTACTAAACATATTAAGAATAAAAATATTGAGAATAAAAATAAGTTAAGAATAAGAAAGACCAAACTCCACGAATCAAAAAACGTGTAATTCTATATATCAAAAAAAAAAAAAACTATTGCATGGAACTGAATTTAATATATAAATATTAACTGAGAATTTAACAACAAAATAGAAAATTTAACAATAAATGAATCCATGAATCCATGAAATGAATTCATATTTCGTTTTTTTTTCTATTCTAGAAGGATTTTTTAATACCAACGAATTTTTCTAACAATTTTCTCATTTCTTGAGCAATGAAATTTATAGTAAAACAATTCGACAAGATGGATTTAATAGAAAAATAAAAAATAACAATAAATAACAAACCTTCAATAGAGACAACTTGTTGCCTTAAACGATTTTGTAAATTTTCATTATTAATTAATTCAATTAAATCGTAAACGGTATAAATAGATGGATGTACACTTTCAAAGCGATTAATTTCATTTCGAATCTCTTCCGATATTTCACCATTTAATAATTTATTCGATGCTGCTGGCAATGACATTTCACTTAATTCATTCTTCTTCTGAAAATATTTTTCTAATTAAAAATTTCATCTCAAAAAAAAAAAAACGCAAATAATCGAAATATCGGCAAAAAAAAGGAGCAAAATATAATTTGCTTAATAAACAAAAACAATAAAAGTAACAAAATACAGCAGAAAAAATATAATTTGAGATATAAAAATTTGATTAAAAACATTAATTATCGAAGATGAAATTATAGAATGTTCATAAGAAAATAATTAATATTTCACCAATAGCACAAAGAAAAATTAATTCTTTCTATTAGAGAAGAAAATGGATTACAACAGTTCGGTAATTTCCTCGACCTCAAATATGCTCAATTTTATTGAAATATATATATAACAGCTGTTTTAAATTAATCATAAGATTTTTGAAAGAATTTAGAAATGGAATGAAAAGTTTCTTAATGAAATCGTTCAAAAAAAAAAGCAAATTGAATTATTCTAATTGAATTCCACCTAAATTATTCAAATTCTATTTCTATTAAATATGAAAAAATAAAAAAAAAAATGAAAAATTTTAACATAAAATCAACAAATAAATATTCTAACGATGAATTTTTCTTGAAGAGAACATTCACTCTTTTAGAAAAATTTGAAATATAAAATTAAAGAACCTAAATCGTCACAATTGTCAATTGTCGTTTTATAATTTCGGTTATCGACAATATAAAATCGTTCAAATCGCTTCAATTTTTTCCTCGAAATATTCGAATTACCTTTCTCTTAAAGCTGCAATAATCGTTCTCTTTCGATATTTTCATTAATAAATAAGAAACGACCGATTGAAAGAGGGAAAGGGAATTAAGAAAATTCCGAGTGAAAATTATGAATAAAATTTTTCACCTCCATTAGCACCATTAACCGTCAAGTGTATTTCTCATAATTTTAGAGTATAATTTCGAAAACAAAATTGAAAATTTTAGTTATTTGTCGATGAAATTTGAAATTTTCGAACCATCTTCAATATAATATTCGATTCAATTCATTATAAATTATATAAAAATAATAATGATTTATAAAATATTAGATTTAAATAATTTTAAAGAGAGATTTATAAAATATTTATAAAAATATTGATTTTCAATAAAATATTTTAAAAAATAATAAATATTTGTATGAAATTAATAATTAGAGCATTAAAAAAGCAATAAAATATTAATTTTCATTAAGAATATAATAAAATAGTAAAAATATTAATAGTAAAATAATTAAAACTTAGTGGCTTAGTAATAAATATACTATTGGTGAGAACAGCTCAGTGGTTTAGCAATAAAAATACTATTGGTGAAAATTGCTTAGTAGTAATTTTAACAATAAAAAAACTAAGGGGGAAGAATGGCTTAGTAGTTTTAATAATAAAAATGCTAAGGGAGAGAATGGCTTAGTGTGGCTTAGGATGGTTCTCATTAGAGGTTCTTTTGGAGCACCAATGCTGGATTTCTCCCATTTCTGCTATGAGTAAAACGGTCTTCTAAGGAAAAATCGCGATGATACTCAGTGAACGGCCACTCTATTGCAATTAAAATAACAAATTTTGACGAAATTTGCTTAGCCTGAAAAAGCCAATGAAATGAGCCAAGTTGAACAAGCAGAGAGCTTTTAAAAAAAATAAATATTAATAATTTTAGTGGATTAGTAAAATTATTTCCATTTCAATAATTAGTGATCGAATTAAAAAAACAATTTAAATCAAAAATAAAAAATTAAAAAAAAAAAGAAAGAAAAACTAGCGACAACGAGAACGTTCAATTGCAGCGCTAAATTATTTAGGTCTTACAGCGAAAAATGTTTTATTTTGTGACACAAAACCAGCAGCACTATATTTCCCATTCTCAATAAATATGCAAGCGTGAACTTCGTCTATTTGTTACTATTAATTTTGGAAGATGTGGTGCGGGGGGGGGGGGGGGGGGGGGGGGGAATATCTGAAGAAGGATTTAGTTTTTGGAGATACAGGGAGTAGGTGGGGGCGGAGGGGAAGTGGACGATATTCGGAGAGGGAAAACCGCTAGAGGGAGGGTTTTGTGGAGGGGGGTATGTTAGTTGATAATTTAAAAGGGACATGGTGTCAAGCAATTGGAGTATATAACTGATCTTTCATATAATCTTTCATATATCTCATATCTTCCATATAAGATTAGTGAATAAGAGGTGTTAGCCAATCACCGAGGGTGAATTTTTTCTAGTTAAGTGGAGGACTAGTGCGGGGCATATAAAAAGAATTCCTTGGTGTCGTATTTACTATTCATATTTATTTCATAATATTTTATTAAAATATTAAAATATTTGATGAATAGAATCAATAAAAAGCCTATTTAAATATTCGAAAATTTGAGCAATTTTATAATAGGAACCATAACCACTGAACCAATCAGTAGTGGTGTGAGCTTTTAAGAGCGCTCACCATTGCTAATTAGGCTCACTTCGCTGAAACAGAAAAAATTTGCCATGGTATCATTTGGCAATAGATTAGTAAATCATCATCATCAGACAGATTTTTTTGATTTGTGCAGGACGGGTTTACTGTGTCCGTCCATATTGAGCAACATTAAATTGATTAATCACACCTAATGTCCACGCATCACTGATAATTTTTATCAATGTATTAGTATATTAGTTTTATCATTATGTTATCATTATATTAAGTTATTAACAGTGTTGATCAAATTTATTAGAATTTATCAAATTCTCTGAAGTTGCGGAAAAACTCATTACAATTTAAATAAAATTATTATTTGTGCTTTTCACCAAGAAAAAGAACATCATTTGCGACATTTCCGTCCATTTTTATGAACGCTGCTATATTTCACCATTGCAAGAGAAGTTTTTATGCAGTCTTTCTTTCATGAAGAAAAAGAAAAAATGACCTGATTTTCATTAAAATTTATTTGAAATAGTTTTAATAATAATTTTCAATAATAATAATAGTTTTAATAATAATTTAAAAAGATGAATTTTTTATAAAAAATATTATATTAATTGAGATTAGTTCAACAATTTTTTGCAAAATACAATTTTACCACAGGTAAATTATAAGTTACTAAAATGACAGATTGTGCTTCAACAGTTAATATTTTCGACTTCCCAAATTTCTTCGAAACCGGAAGTTAATTTCGCGCAAGTTATAAAAAATATTATATTAATTGAGATTAGTTCAACAATTTTTTGCAAAATACAATTTTACCACAGGTAAATTATAAGTTACTAAAATGACAGATTGTGCTTCAACAGTTAATATTTTCGACTTCCCAAATTTCTTCGAAACCGGAAGTTAATTTCGCGCAAGTTAGTGCTGCACTCAGTGGATAATTGCTGATTTTGATTTCTTCAGTGGTGTAATCAACAGAAACCTTAAATCATATAAGATAAGTAAAGAAAAAAATGATTTCTAAATTTTTTATTGCTTACATATTCCTATCATATTATTCCTACAGTTCCTACAATTACAGTTCTTAATAATTGAATTTTACGAAATTCTCGACCTTTTTTTTTTAAAGGAAATTGGTATTGGCATTAATTTAGTTTTTAGTAATAGAAAAACTAAAAAATTGAATTTTTTTCGGAGATTTTCAGAGATTTTTTCAGAGTAGCGATTTGTGCGTAAAATTTGGATATAATTTTAAAGAAAACTTCACTTTTCCAGTTGCGCATCCACCAACTACTATGACAACTGGTTTTTTTTCTTCAACTGATACAATTTTTTTGCATTTTACAAAATTTTCAGCGTGGAATGAAGTAAGTATCTTTCGACATCCAATAGGTAAATGGTCAGTTACTGGATTTTTGATTAATTTCAAAAGTTTTACTGAATTATCAGCTGCTCGTATTGAATTTGTCTTCAATAACTGACCTGAAATTAAAAAAATGGAAAGCTCCAAATTAAGAAAAAAGATTTCCTAGAACTATAAATGACAGTACCAATGATCGAAATGATAATGCCAACAATACATGTGAATATAATTTAAAAATGAATGAATTTATTAAATAGTATATGTATGATTTTCTTAAATTACTAAAGTAGTGGCTAAAATTTCGAAAAACATACACATAAGTCCTGAAAATCGATCAAAAGTTCGCGGTACACGTAATTGTGGATGTACTTCTATCAAAACACCGCTAATTGTATGAATATATATTTGTAAATATCCGGCACGATTTAGTGGACTATCCAATAACATCATTAAACACTAAAAATACTTAAAAATTTCTCTTTTAAAAAAATTATTTTTTAAGTATATTTTTATTAAGAAAAATATTCAATAAAAAGATCTCACTTGATGAACAATATCGGGGCGAAAATCTGCAGGATTTCTCGGAGAATGGACATTTTTCGACCTATCATTATTATTTTTATTATTACTATTACTACTTGTCATAAGTGCATAATTCGATCCTCTCTGCAAGTTTTTTTAATTTTCAATCATTCTATAAAGTAATAAAAAGAAAATTTTCTAAGTTTTTTTTTAATTATTTATTAAATTATATTTATTTATTTTATTAAATTATTTTATTTTTGATCCATTAGAGTAGCGATGGTTAATCACTTTATAGAGTAATTTTAGCCGTAGTTTGAAAATTTATTATTTTATTCCACTCTCTTCTCTCACCACCCTTCCTCTTCTCACTCGAAAATTTTAAATATCAACAAAGAGCTAAAAAAATAAAATTTACAAAAAATAATAAATCACTTAATTTTAAATAACCTTTATCACATCAAGCGAACATTTCTCAAGAACAATAATCAATCGTCGTTGCGAAAGAAAAGAATCACACGATTCTTCCGATTCTATTTTCGGTCTTTTCTCTGAAGGCGGAGATCCACGAATCATTAATCTCGTAGAAAAACCAGTTTTTCAACCTCGAATAACCTTAATGAAACTTTTCGGCCCTTTTTTAACAATAAATAAAAAACAATTTGATTTTAATAATATTTTCGTCTAACATTTCAAATATCAAAAATCAAGAAAAATAAAAATGTAATAAAAAATAAAAAACCATAATAAATAAATAAAATAATCGTTAAAATATACTAATGAAAATCACCGAAAATTGAGAATAAAAAATAAATTTCACTTTGAAATATTTATATTCATTTAGCAATTGAAAAACCATAAAATAATATACAGCCTATTAGAAAAATATCAATTCAAATAAGAATAAAGAAAATGAAGAAAATGAATAAAAATCCCAGTTTTAGCCGTACATTATTGACCCGCTTAGAAAGAAAGTTGCATACATTCAATTCTTATTTCTGACAGCAATAAATCTGTCATCAAAAATAATATTCACATCTCACTTTCAAATTTTTCAAAGATTTTCTAATGAACTAGTAGACAAACAAATGGGAAAAAGAAAATACTGCTGAAAAAAGAATACGGCCACTTTTTTTTTCATAATAAAGAAAACGATTAAAAATAATAAAACAATGAAGAATATTTAATCAATCCTCGTCATCTTCTTGTTCAAGTCCCATATTCAAATAACTTGTTCTTACAGAAGATGGTTCTGTGCTTTCGATATTTGATAGTTCTTCATGAGTTTCGTTTGCAGCGCATGATTCTGCTGCCATTGCTAACATTGTTAAACCGTCTTCAGAACCATCATTTCTCTGCTGGGCTGAGAACGATGGATTTGTTGTAGAATGATTTTCACTACTAAAAATATATGATATACTACAATAAATAATGCCTCTTGCTTAATCACTTAATATTGCTACATTCTACAAATGCTTCTTCCCTACCAGAAGCCAAAATGAGGCAAACCAAATAAATCTTCAGAGGATCTTTCCCAAGGATCCTAACTGGGAAAGTAAAGAGCTTAAAATGCAGCAATTTACGCAAAAAATTTTTTTAAAAATGAGGTGAATAAAAAACGATAAACAAACTTTGGACCTTGTCTCTGCATTCGACCTTTCTTCTTCATTTTTTTCATTCTGTGATATATTTTGTATTCTTTCATCCGTTTTGACTGACTGAATATTTGTAGTTTGCATGTGGGAAGAATGAGTCTCTTCTACCGCTTTTTCATTAATATTTTCTATTTCAGTTAAATCTTCAAAACGTTAATAAGATTATTAGTGTCATTCAGCTAAATCTACTGAATCTTCGATCTTAACTGAACAAGAGTTAAATATTTTAAGTAAATATTTTAAAAATTTACTTTGATTTGCAGAAGTTGATGATTCCTCATCATCTTGTGGCTCTTTATCCATTAAAGCGGAAGAAATACTTGCAACTGCAGCAGCGGTCTCGAGTGAGCCCTGTAACTGAACATCAGCTTCCGGCTGCAGATTTTGTTGTTGTTGAGCAAAACGGCCATGCTGAAGACGTAGAACCTCTTTCACTGGCTAAATAAAAAATATCAATGAATATCAATCAAATCTTAAAATCAAAAATAAATGATAGGACTATTTATGTGATGAAAAAAAAGTTGAGATAAAAAACCATACACGATTATTGAAATTTGATATGTATCCTTGATATGTTTGATCAAAGTGCAATGATGATGATGGATTGATAGCAATTAAGCGGGTTCGAGCGCTGCCTAAATTATGCCATATTTAATAGTTAATAGTAAATTACGTTAATAGTGAACTGACTTAACAAAAAAATTTAGGAGAAAACACCATTAAAATGAGAAGAAATCAGATAACCAGAATAATGGTTAATTTATAAAACTATCATTGCCTCTAATTTTAAAATAAAACTTAAAAAAGCATCCAAAAAGAAATCAATGCTTTGGTTGAAAAAAATATAACTCTCCATGTTTTAAGTTTATCATTTAATTCTTTTATCATTATCATTTATCATTTATCATTTTATCATTTATCAGTTTATCATTTTTGGTTAACTCATTCTATCCTTCCCTCCGTTTTATATTTTTTATATTTTTTTTTGCTTTTCTATTTTATTGGTATTATTGCGAATTTGAAAATGGCTTTTAGTTATTTCTTGCTTATTTTTTAAAGAAATAAAAAACGATACTTATGGGGAAGTTTCGATCGGATTGACGACGTTGGTATTCTTCATAATTCGTACGTTTCGACCTAGAAAGAAAAAAATAAAATTTTTATATTATAAGAAATAAGAATAAAAATAAAGCATAAATAAAGCATATAAAACCAAAAAATTGAAAAAAATAGAAACCGATCTAAATAATTGAAAGTAGTAGAATCAGGATTGCTTCTGTTAGTTGCAACAGCTGGCGATCTAGATGGCCATGACGGTGAGGAAAAAGAGTTGCCGCCTACAAACAAGAACATGTAAATTTAAACGTTGCTAAAAATTTCATACGCTGCATAGTTCATTTGATACATTAAGATTTAAATATTAAATCTTCAAACAAAAATTGAACTTGTAAAAAAAAGTTACTTACGACCAGATGCAAACTGTAATGAGGAGAATTGAGGTCGACCATGTATAACATACTAAAGCAATAATATTAAGTTACAATCTTTCAAAAAATATCTCGTATTTTATTAATGTGTTTAATAAAGCAGAATTTGGAAATTTGAAAATTTGAAAAAGAAAAAAATCTAATAATTTCACAAAATTTTTACTTGACTGATTCTTGAAGCATTTCCAGAATATGACGATGTTTGACTTTCTTCACGTAAAGGAATAGTTGGACCAAGTGTTATAGTGCTAGGATCAGTAAATCGATCTGATTGAACTCCTCGTAAATTCGTGCCACTTGGCATAGAACTAAGAAAAAAAAGTTTAACAAAAGTAAAGATAAAATAATTTCAAGTTGAGGAATAAATTAAAATAATAACGAAAAACAAACCGTAAAACAGTACTTGGCTGAGTAAAATTGCTATTAGCTGAAATTGATGCCCGTCGCATAGAATCAATGCTGGTGGAATTCGATGGATTTTGTGGCGAAACAGTTTGAAATACAAAAGAAGTAAATTTTTTGGGCCCGCTCATTCGCACTCTTTGAATAATTGGAGATTGCTGATTGTAATCAGATCCTACATTGAAAAAAAACCAATTATTTTTTCGCATTGTCAGAAAAGCACAAAAAAATATTACCATTGTAATTCCGTTTCTCAACAGCGATGAAACGTTGCGGTATGGACCTCCTGAAGTAAATACAATCAAAATTTCAGGATTATTTATGAAACAAATTCAAATTAATCCATTAATAAAAGAAAAAACTGACTCCATTTTCCTAAAATCACTGCGTCCTGGTGCATGCACAAAGGGACGAACACGAGCACAAGAAAATTCGGAATCCTCCTTTCTTTGCAAATACATCGATTGCTGTTTAATATCACTTATCATAGTAGTAGTTTCATTCATATGACTATTAATACTATATCGATCTGCTTGCCTAAAACAGTACCATGTATATATAACAGTACCATGGAAAAAACGGACAGATAAATTTTTGAGAAAATCTGAATTTGAATTTTTGAAATTAGCTCATCATAAATTTTCACAAAATTCGTACAATATAATACAATTCACACGGTTATTAACAAAAGTAGGTTGACAAAAAATAAATAGGGATGGTTTTTTTTTGATATCCTGCAAAAACCAATGCTGAACAAATATTAAAATACCGTTACAACTTGAATGCCTATTCTACCTTTCAAAAGGTATAGTACGACTTGGTATTCCCGCAGCAGGTGGAGGAGAACTGACAGGAATTGTTCGAACATTGTTTCGTCGACCGGATGGCACTATTCGATTTTCTTCTAAATCATCATCTTCTCCAATTAAAACAACTTTAACAGGGGGTGACTTTACATCAGCTACATTTTCTTGAATTTTATTTCTCGAATCAATAACCGATCCATCATATTGTATACACTTTTGTCCCATACTCGGAAAATCTGGTGCAATAACTAAACAGAAAAAAATTTGAATATTTCTCAATATTTCTCAAAAGTTTTAAAAATTTTCTAACGTAATACTAAAAAAATAAAAAATTCGTCTCATTAATATTAACAAGAACAGTGGAAAAATTAAGAAATTATTCTTGAAAGAGGAATTCAAAATTTTTCAAAATATTTTCTAATGTAGTTAGACCTTCAAAACCATAAAAACTGAAAAGATTTCGGAAAAAACTGCTCTTAGGGCAGTTCTTAAAGAAAAGAAAAATTAGATAAAATTTTATTTACTTCTTCGTAGTATTTTTTTGAAAAATATCCAAGCATTTGCAAAAAATTAACCACTATATATCTGATAAAACGATCAAATACCTACCCTTTGGTGAAATTGCCGATGAGCTGCAATTTTTATCAAAAGGCTGTTTCTTCATATTTCTTTTCTCATTGTCAAAATCTCGTTGCTAAAAAAATTTATTTTATAACATTGCTTGACAATATTTTACTAAAAAAATTTTTTTACTGAATTCGAAAAACCTACTATTTTACCACTTCCTTTATTGATTAAATTATCCTTTTGTAAAAGCACTGAATTTGTAGAAGAAGACGATTGTAACGATTCTATTTTTTGGTATGGCCTTTGCACTGAAAAAGAAAAGCCAACAACATTAAATAATAACATCATCATGTAAACTATTTTATAAATTCCTTTTTACAAGAAAGAATATGGGAATTTAAAAAAAATCATCATCGTGCAAAATCATTAAAAATTTTCAAAGTTTTCAAATTTTTGTCACAATAAATATTAAATATGAGGATAAATAAGAAATGAAAAATAAAAAATTAAATAAATTACAAACATGAATGTTTAAAACAATAGCAAATTCGATCCTCAAAATGTAATGCTGCATTTTCACATTCATTACATTTAGTAAAAAGACTCTGTTTCGAATCTCTCAAAATATCTGAAAAAAAAAATCATATAATTAAAAAATTTGAAACTAATTTAGGAATAAAGAAAATTCAAAGATAATTCAAAAATATGAAGAATTTTGAAGATAAACTGAAAATAAAAAATCATACGCTTTATACAAAAGTTATTCAATGGCAAAGCAGGATTTTGGCATTTATCTTCCACCTTCCCTTCGCCAGACATTGCTTCACCATTTATTTTATTTGTCTATAAAAAATGTCATAGATAATTCTATTGAATAAAAATAAAAAAAATTTTCAGCAAAAAACCTATAAATAAAGAACAGGATAAAATTATACCGAAGAATAACTTCGAAAGCTGCAAGAGACTAGATTTGCATTGTGGACCTTTAAATAATCCAATGGTTTTTGAGGATCATCGCCAATTTTTTGTCTGCGAGCTAATCTCCTATTCATATATTGTGAAATAAAAGACTGTTGCCAACGACGATACTTTTTATTTGCTTTATGTATCATTTTTAACCGTTTTTCATTCTTGGTATAAGCGACGATTGGTCCTGAAATTTAAAAATTTATTATTTTCTGGAAAATAGAAACGATTATGATGACCATTACCACTTAACATTTCATTTCATCAAATATGATTTCAAAATCAATCAACTAACAACAAATCTATTCAGTCAATAAATGGCGATGGGAAGCTTCATTAATGTATCAATTTTTCATCAGTTCAAGTGTACATTTCGGCCAATAAGTAATGAAAAACTTTACTGAAGCTGAATGAACAAGGACACTGCAGTTGATATCCATTATATCAAATATAATTGTATGAATCTTTATAAACATCATTTTCCACAATTAAGCTCAAAAAATATTTAAACATTTATAAGAAGCACATTTTAAACTAAATTTTGGGAATTCAATAGCCTAAAAATTAAAGGCATCGAAAACGCGCCTCTCGAACGGCTCGTGAATTCTGAAAAGCATTAACTGCTTATCTCAGCCAAATGCATGCTAGACTATGTGGCTAGGAAAATCGGAAAAAATGATAGGAAAAATTACCTGAGAAAACTATCCACGGTTCATATTGTAATTATAATAATCTCTAGGATGTGGGAAAAATCATTAGTTTGATATAAAAACGAATGCTCAAATAGAAAATTAGCCGAAAATTAATCCAACTCAAATAAATAATCAAATAAAGTGATAATCTTAACAATGACCTTGATGAAATAATCTTAATTTCAATTCCGAATAAAATTTGATATCTATCAAATTTGACAATTATCAAGGAATTAATCCTTTAGACTCTTGGAAAATTGTGTTCAGTAAGCTAGAATACGTAAAAGCGAACAGAATAACACCACATTCAACACTGAACGGGTGAACTATAAGTCAGTTGAAAACTCACTTATTATGAATTTGTAGTGCACTAAAGACAGCCGTCTTTATTGACATTCATGAAGGAATTACAACAATTAGATCACGAGTAGAAGATATAAAGAAACAGTCCATCCTTAACCATTCTTGCCTAAACTATATTTTACGATTTAATAGAATATTATATGCTTGCCTCCACCTTCGTCTCTGTCATGATTATTTACGGAATTTATGCTCTCAAAAGTACTGATAAATCGCAAAATGCCAGGTTTTGCCTGGAGGATGAAAATATAAGAAAGCATAGGCAAAACATAAAAATCACTTATAGCATAGGCAGTATTATGTTATATGGGACCAAATGGTGGAAAAAAAGTGGCTTCACCAACATTCAGACTTCGGATCGAGATAAATAATCTTATGTTAGCAATTACAAGACGAAAAACTATAAGTGATTATAATTAAAAATGATAAATAAAATTTAAAAAAAATTGAAAAATTTGACAAAAAAATTTAAAATAACAGTGAATAATGCTCTAATAAAATAGATATGTGATAAATAATTTTAACAAGAGCTTTAAAAAAAGAATTAAAGAACTAAGAACCTTTTTTTGCTTCTTCAGCAATTTTCTTTTTAAAAAAAATAGCTCGCCGCTTAGACTTTTCATATAATAACTGCCGCAAATCTCTCAGTGCCTTCCGTTTTCTTTTAAGAATTGCTAATTTACAGACTAAAATTTCTTCTTCAGTAACGATACCAGCATTTCTAAAAATTCGATAAATAATAGTGGAACTTTATGCTTACAGCATTGCAAAACAATAATTATTTTAAAAAATAAAAGGGGATGAACAACTGAGTACTTATTCATATATCCAATATCGCAATTTTTATTCCTGATCGTTAGAAAATTCGGATATGGTCGCAAAAACACCTATATGGTTCTATCAGGAGAACCATCAAAAATAGAAGGTACAACAGTATAGAAGGAAAGTACCAATTATTTATTACCTATTGAAAAAAAAACAAATAAACAAACTTTAATGGATTATCTTCATCATCATCTGAATGTAATTCATTATAAAGGTCTTGCTGTGAAAAAGGCCAATCACTTGTTGTAACGAATGTTTCATCAATATCACTGCAACAAATTTTTTATAAAATAAGCTAAGAAAAATCATTTTAACTAAGATAAATTATTATAAATTATTGAAAAATATACGAAATTTTTTTGTATAATTTGTAATTTTTTATGAACCTTATTTCAATCGAACCATCTTCATCACCGTTTGCAAGTGAATAGAATCCTTGATCATTACGACGTTGTTCAGCTTTAGCCATTTGTCGTAACTGTTGAAAAAATCTCGGATGCTGAAAATAGACGAAATCACTTTATTTTAAAACAATTTTATTTTCTTCATTAAAAAATATTAAAAATTACCATTTTATACTTAAAAAAATTGCATCAAAAAAATTTTTTTATTTTATAAAATCAAATGAATTTAAATTAATTTTATAAAATTGAATAAAATATAATTCAAATTTTTAAAATTAATAAAATTTTCTTTTTTAAATAATGAAATAATTTTTAATAATTTTAATAATTTTATTTTTAATAATTTAATAATAATTTTTTTTTAACGAAAAATATAACAGAAAAAAGAAGAGACTATAAATCGAAAACTTACAACTTCACAAAAACCTTCTTTTGTTAAAGCGGATTTTGGACGAAGATTTTTACAGTGAAGACGAGTTCGACGACTAATATAACAGCATTGAGCCATATCATCAGTTGCAGTTTCTTCAACAACTCGACATTTCCAAGCTCGTCGTTCTTTTGTTCTCGTTGACGAACTATTAGTTTTATTATTCCTCTGAATTAATTGAGATAAAAAAAAAAAAAAATCGAAAAAATAAAGCAAATGAAAATTGCTTAATAGAATTTATTCGAAATTAAAATTAAAATGACGAACCATTAGAGAAATGATTGCTTTTATGGTTGTTTCAACTTATAAAATATTTTGCCAGAAAAAACTGAAATATATATTTTTACTTCAAAATATTCTTATTTAAAACCATTTAATTGATTTCTATTTTCGAGAACCGCGAACCCAACCCGTAAATCTGAAGATGACTGAAATATGCTAAACCAACCCAGAAATGAACTAAATCAGGTCAATCCAAAGCAAATCTAAGTGAGGCTCGATAAATCAGGCTAACGAAATGGCACTCAATAAAGTCGCAGTCGTAGTCATAAAACACTTCAAAAAATACCGCAACTGAAATATAGTTATAAAAATATCGTAATCCTGTTTTCGTTTCAGGACCTCACGATTTGGAATTTATTCCGCTTTGTCGGGTAAGGCAAATGTTACTAATGAATCACTTGTGAGGAATATCGGTGCATCGTTAAGTACCCTAAGTACCCTAGGTTAAGTTAAGTACCCTAGGTATTTTTGAAAAATTGATTTTATCTTATGGGAATTGAACCACAATTCCGCAATTTATTTTGTATCTATGGTTTGCTCTAATTTATCTATTTTTTTTTTATACATGTTTTTGTAGAACTCACGAAATATTTGTGGTACTATAATCGCAGTAATATTTGATTAATTGGCATATTAAATTTGTTGCCGAATTTAGTGAAACCAATGGAATGAGGGGATAGGGGGATAAACGTTAGGAAAAAAAGGCAAACAAATAAAATCGGTAAATTTTGTAAGAATATTGGAGTCAGCGATGTAAAAAGATAGTCTCTTATGAAGAGAGATCGAATGGCGATGATAATTATGATAATTAAGTGGGTCATAGGCTTATGCTTATGCTTAGGCTTAGGTAATTTCCCCTAATTAATATGAAAAAACCCCCCACTTTGTGAAGTACCGAATTGCCGTCAAACCTGGTTAAATCTTTTGTTATTCATAAAAATTCGTTTTATTTCTTTTTAAATAACTTTTTCAAATCCTCGCCGAATATATTCTACTAAAATAATTCACTCACTTCCTCTCTGTTATATTGATTTCTACGGTTTCATAATCTATGATTATGGGCTCGAAAAAATTACATGCATGGCTATTTGACGAGTTTTGAGAAAATTCTTCAGAGAATCTTCAAGTAGGTTTTAAAGAATATCGAAGATTTTCAGTTCATAGAGATTGGCAGAGATTTTTGAAATTTTTGATTTAAAAAAAAAACAAGCGAAATTTTTTTTTTTTAATTTTATAGTTTTTTAATTTTATAAAATTGGTAGTTAATTAATTTTTTTTTTTTTTCAGATGTATAATGAATGATTGGTGGCGATTTGCATGGAAATATTTACGAATATTTTATTTCAATAAAAATTTTCGATATTTTGCCGCATTGAATAGTTTTTTAATTGGTAATAAATCAGTATTAAGTGATAAATCAACTGATAATCATTATTCGAAGAGGAAAATTATTCCTTTAAAAAATTATGAAATAAACGATGAATTTCAAGCATTCACCAGCGATCATAAACTCACTAAACGTGAATTACGATTTTTACAATTTGCTTCCGTTGAATTTGATGATATCGTTTATATGACACCAAGGGATTTTCTTGATTCGCTTATTCTCGACAAACCTAAAGGTTCATAAAAATTTTTTAAATTTGCTTGAAAATTTTTTTAAATTGATAATTAGTGTAAAATGAAATTATAAAATAGGTTTTTTATGTTTCAAAGGATAACAAAAGTATTCAATATTCTGCTGTTATGTTGATTTTTATGTTCAATTATAGCGAAAATTAATATTTTGCTAGTCGAGAGAGAGAGAAGAGGGGATAATATTTAGGTTATTATTAAAAAAATAAAGATTAAAAGTAGGACATATTAAAGAAGAGTGGACATTTGAGAGTTGCCAAGGGGCAAGAAAAGGAATCCACGAAATTTTTCCGCATCCATTCCGTGGATGATATAAAATCCTATAACAAAATCCTATAAATTAACATTTTCATTTTCCACATTTTCCTATGGCATTTTTCCTATAAACCTTTTTATTATTTAGTTGATATATTTCATATTTTTTCTTATAGAATTTTTAAAATTTTTTTTTTTATTATCAGGATTTTTATTAAAAAATCCCTTTCTCATTCTCTATGTGTGATAAAGATTATCCTCAACTTCGAGGCTCTTCTCTCAAAGGCCTAAGAAATTGAGGGTTTTGTCCAAAGCATTCTCTTAGCTTTTTGGTGTCTGATGTTGTTGCTGGAATCTGTTGAAGGTCACTTTTCTAGTTTAGCGGTTGCAGTTTCTAGTGCTACACTCATCACTGGGACTATTTTAGCCTTAAATTTCCATTTGCTCTTCTTAGTTCTTTTTTCAGTGCTTATTTTTTATATTTCTCATATTTATTTATATTTATTTACATTGCAGAACGAATCTATCGGCGAATATTGAAAAAAGAAGAAATAAATTCAATGTTGCAAAAAACTCCAAAATTAAAAAAGGGAATGAAAAGAACATTAAGAGATTTGGATCATAACGGAATTATATCCTATGCTGAATATATTTTTTTACTTTCTCTCCTAATAAGTTCCATTTTATTTTTAATTAAGATAAATTCAACAAAATTAAACAAAATTCTATTTAAAAATATACAAAAAAAAAATTAATTTAGAAATTTTTCGAATAAATAATAAAAATTTATAGAATCGGCAGAAGGTTTTCGTATCGCCTTTCTTATATTTGATAGAGATGATAATGGAAAACTAGAAAAGGATGAATTTCTTCTCGTATCTTTTCTGATTTTATAAATTTTTAAAAATTCCAATTTTTCTAAAGCCTATAATTTTCGAAAATTTACTTTTTGGATTATTGTTATTTCATTATATTTGAAAATTTTTTGGCGTAGATATTTCCATTATTCAAAACATTTTCGTCAATTTATTTAATTTATATAATTTTATTTATTATTATTCAGGCAATATCAGTTGTCTCGATTCTTCGTTCGATTCGAACGGCTGTTGAGGAGGTGAGTTTTTAATAGATGTTTTTTGGACACAAATGGGCTATAACTGTTTCGTTCAGCGTAAACTATGTATTGTTGATGTTCCTGATCTTCAATATTTAATTAAAAATCTTGGAATACGACTTCTTCGACCAACCGACACTATTCAAATCGAAGTGAGTCTATTGCATTAATCTAAAATGAGGCTTTCTTGTCTCTTTTCTATGTTAATATGTAAATGGAAATGTACTTCGAAAGATAGAAGAGGAATCTCAGGAATATAATCATCACTGTCACGAAATACGAGTACTCTTTTTGGATTCTGTCCCACAAGTTTTTTATCTGCTTCATTGGGCCATTCATCTACATCATCGTATCCTATCATCTTTCTTGTTTTTCATACCACATTACTCCTTGTCTTTCCTTTTACTTTTTTTTGTGATTGTTGTCCCCTTATGTATTTGAATCTTTTGTTGATTCGCTATTTGGTATGCTACTAAACTTCTATGCACTCTGTGCTTTTCTCTCGAAACATTTAAGCATACATAATCTTAACCAGATCTCCCAAAATTTCTGGAATTGAATTGTTTACATTGTCCCTGCTCTAGATGGATTTACTTTATACTCATCACTCAAATCTTTTATTAGCAACAGCTATTTCGTTGATGCTTGCGCAATTTTTGATATTTGATATTCTAAATCAAACTATCAACAAATTCATTACGAAAATCGACCATTTTTTTGTAAATTGATTAAAAAATATTCTAATATTGATAATATTAAAAAGATATTTAAAATACAAATTTTCAGACAAATTTAAAATTTAAATTTTGTAATAAATTCGATTTTTACCTTTTTAAAAACCAGCTTGCCATATATTAAAAAAAAATTATTGGGAGATTTCATATAAATTTTTATTCAAATGAATAAAATAATTTTTATTAAACCATAAAATTTTTTAATTCAATTCAAATTTTCAGAAAGATGATAATTTGGTCCGAATGCAGGATACAACACTAATTTTACATTTATTTGGTCAAAGCGGGAAAGATTCGCTTACTTTTGAACAGTTTAAGATGTCAGGTTTTTTTCTCTATTACCACAGTCACTATAATTCTGGAAATGCTGAGGTATAAAATCAAGAATAACAATGTAATTCGCCAATGCAAAAGGAAAGGGTTTTCCTATTCTTGCAAGAGGTTATTCCCTGGCAAAATGGAGCCATAATGAAGCAGAAAAAAAGTTGGTACCACTTTAAAAAGAATTTTTTCGTAGATTTTACGATAATTTGCAAAGAGAATTAATGGAAAGCGAATTTTATGAATTTTCTCGTGGCAAAGATGAAATTTCATCTGTTGATTTTGCTCGACTTATTTTACGTTATTCAACTATCCGAAATGATCAATATGCAACCTATATTAATCGATTGTATGAAAGAACACCTCATAATGATAAAGTAAATGATTTTTCAAATTTTCACTGATAAAATAATGATAATGGAAAAAATAATTATAACTGATGACTGATAACAGAAAAATTTTGAAAAGAAATTGTTTAATTTAGTTAATCAAAAATTTTTTCATACTTTTTATATAATTTATTTTTTATTATATTTTATTTATTTATTAAAATTATATTTTATTTTTTTGCAGGGTATAAAATTTGAAGAATTTGAAAAATTTTTTCTCTTTTTGAATAATCTTGAAGAATTTACTTCTGCAATCCGACTATTCGCTTTAGCAGAAAAACCCATATCACAAGCTGAATTTCTACATGCAGTAAAAGCAAGCACATCGAATGATTTAGATTCGCATATTGTTGAATTAATTTATCGGATTTTTGATGCAAATAATGATAATCAATTATCATTCTCGGAATTTATTGCAATTATGAATGATCGCTTTCATCGAGGATTTACGGTATTCTTTTAGCTCTTAAAACATTTAACAACAATGATATAAATTAATATCATTTCGTGATGACTTCGACTTGCTTTTTTTTTTATTTTCAGTCAACAGAGGATTCAAGATGGCAGTCGTATAAACAGTGCATTATCAATGAGCTTAGTCGGTTTTAATAGTTTTAATTTTAAAGATTATTGATAAATACAGAATAATGATGGAATTATTGGTGGTGTTACTGGTAAAATTTTTTCGCTGAGCCAGCTCAGTATCAGTTTATCAGGAGTGATTATTATAATTATTTATGCATTTTTACATGTTTATCACGAATATTAAGCATAAATTTGCTCATTTTAAAAATATTCAAAATATTTTCCTTGTATTAATTTCCTAATTGCTTATAAGTATAAGTAATATTTAAATAAATAGTTGATATTTGTTTTATTTGAATTTATATAGCAAAAAATAGCAGTCATTTTTAGAAAATTTATTCTCAATTTATTCTTATCAATTTGGATCGTCCACCTAAATATAAATAGTAAGTAAATGGTTATCATTTAGTTCTTGCGGTAAAAAGTTAGAGGATCGCTTGGGATAGAAGATAGAAGTGAGCCGCTAGTACCATCCTTCAATTTCGATAACTGCACTTGTGCCAAGGCTAAAAAACCCAACCTCTTGATGTGGAATTAAATTTTTCGGAAAAAATCTGGCATGATTTCCGTGATTTCTATACTATGAACTAGCACTCTAATATTATGCACTCGCTTATTAAGGTTTGCACGGTTATGGTTCTTCAAGTATGGCTCTGTGGATAGTCGAGTGGATAAGTATTTGTTTTAAGTCTTAAAGTATTTGCTACTTTATCAGTAATGTCCCCCGTAAATTCCTCCGATGCCCATGGGAGAAGTGGAGGAGAAGTGGAGGAAAAGAGAAGTAGGTTGGATCGCTCACTTTAAGAAAAAGGAATATTGATAAAGAGAAAAATTTACTTGGACCTATATGCATTTAGTACCAAGTACTGATTCAATGAAATATACGAAGAGATTTCCAAAAGGCACTTCATAAATTATCAATAAACTTCGCGAACTCCAGATTTATGGTCGTGAGCGCATGATAATATTGTTCATTTCTAATCGAATAGAATTCGATGAATCACCCGCCTTAAATTAATTTAAATCAGAAACATTTTTTAGTACTGATAATAATAAGGAAAATGATAAGCTTAATCATTAATATAATGGTTAAAATTAGAACAAAAATGAACCATTTTGATAAGAAATAAATTTAATTTAATATCAAATATTAAAGAAAAATATCAAGTCAACAGATGATAAAATGAATCAGAAAACATAGATCCACTACCGATATTATCAAATTTTCTTTAGCTTATTTTTATAGCAAAATAGATACCAGTGATAATTTTCAGTGATGAATTATTTTTAGACAAAAAAACACAACCCAAAGGAGCTTTGCTATCGAACAATTAAAAAATTGATAACGTGGTTCCTAATTTTATCAGTCATTACCAATGAACATTTTACAAACACAAATAAAGAATGAATATCAGACGAATTTTTTTTGAAAAACAAATTTTAATCAATTTTAGTGTTAAATTGGGTTTCACTGATAATTTTTAGTGAAACAAAACGTTTTTTTAAACGAAAAAAAATATATTATTAATATTACAAAATTTATTATTTAATATTATTAATATTATACTATATAAGTTTATTACTTAATATTATTAATATTATAAAGTTTTATTGATTATTAAAATAATCAATAAAACTTTAAAAAATCTCGAAATATCAGAATTAATTGTATTTTCAAAAGGCAATTTGAAATCAAGTCGTTATCAAGCACAAAGTCATAAGTTTTCATAAGTTCTCAGTATTCTTCAATATTCTTATCAGTTTTTATCAGTAATAATCTAAATTAAAGAAATATTTGAAAACAATAATAAAAAGCAGGAAAAATTAATCAAAACAAATTATTATTAATTATTAAGACAATTATTGATTTTTCTTACTTAAAATTGCAACTTTTTAGTTAATCAATAAAATAAAAAAAATTAAAATGATATGACGTCATTTCCATAAATCTCTAAGTCATAAAATTCTAATGATCTCCTCAGGCATGATATTTCTCTAATTCTCTTCAAAAGTATACTATTGAACTTTTCTAACGTTCTAACCCCTGCAATTATTCTAATATTTTCACGAACTTTTAAAAAAAACGACGTAAATTACATCAAAAAATATCGTAATTTTTTAAATTTTCTGAATTTTTTTTAAATTTTTTAAAAATTATTTTATTTTTTTTTGGATTTTTTCTTATCGCAATGGTTTTTGATTGATTTTTTAAATTTTTAATTTTTTTAATTTTAAATTTTTAATTAATTTTTATTTTTTTTATTAATTTTTAATTTTTTTAGAGAAAAACTATTTTATTGTATTTAATAAACTATTTTATAATAATAATTAACTATTTTATAATAATTTAAATATTTATAAATATTTATAATATTTATTATATAAATAAATAATACAAATAATTTTTTTAGAAAAATATTTTTAAAAATTATTAAATTATTAAAATTTTTAAAAAATTCTTCCATTTTGGAAATTTTTATAATTTTTAAAAAATATTTTTTTTTTCGTGATTTTTTAATTTTTTCTAATTTTTGTATTTAATAAATAAACAAATAATCTTTAAAATGGGATTTTTGACGAATGATAAATGATAAGTGCGATGTGGGCAATTCGTTGAATTTTATTCCAACTTTTACAAAATTTATCATTATATTATCAATTTAAATTGTCGAATATAAATCTGTTGAATTTGTGAGTTGAAGTTGAACTGATGCGTTTTTTGAAACTTTTCGTAGTATATTTGAGTAAAGTATAGGCATATGGGCTTCTAAATTAGTAGCTAAGAATTTGATGCAGTACAAAATTTAAAGATTTTTGTGAGTATTTATCAATTTATGATATGATAAAGGATTTTTAAGAAGAATGATTAAGAAGAGGGCACATGCATACCAAATTCAGCAAATAGGTCATTCAAATATTTTGTTTGCTAAGCATTTTTTTTTCAACGAAAATTGTATATTAAATTAATTAAATTAAATAAATTATAAGAATTATATATTTAATATAACATTTAATATATATATATATATATAATTATTAATAATAATTATAATATATATATATATAATTAATAATAATTTATATATAATTATATTGTATATGAATAAATAATAAAAATATTTATATATATATATAATCATTTGATTATTATTGTATTATTAAATCAATAAAATTAAATAAATTATAAAAAAATTATAAATTATAAAAAATATATATAATATTTAATATTTAATAAACATATATAATCATTTGATTATATATTGTATTATTTATTATCTACTATTATTACGTAATATTCCGATATTATTACGTAATAGTATTATTTTTAACGAATCAATTTTTTTTTCTTAAAATTATAAATTTTAAAATTATTTTAAAATTTCTCTTTTTTAAATTTAATTATTTCTATTCGTTGTCTTTGACAGGAATAAACCTGTCATGGTGTCAAAAATCCGAGTGGCTGATAGGGATTCATCAGTCACTATCCCTATCAGTCATAAGTGATTCTATTGCGAAAGGATCAAGTCTCTTTGATATGTCGTCCACGTTTTCCGACATGCATGATACTTCTGATCCTGTGGCACAACCGATAAAATACGGTACAAGCGTATCATAGTAAAATGATTTCAAGGCTTGTGAATTGGTCAAGGGAGGTGAGAACCTATTCGCTAATACTTTATAAGTGAGGTGAGGGTGCACCTGCTTGGAACGTGAAGAAACTAGGTGTATTTTAATTTGATATCGTTATCAAATATATTTATTTTATTTCTATCGTCTCAATTACTAAAGCGAATCCTTTATTTGTCATTTGGTGTTTGTCTTCTTTTCAAAAATATTATATTGGTACTTATAAAGAAAGATCCAATAAAAGTGGCAAATAAGCCTAAAATAATTTTATAATTTTACATGGAGACGACAATTACAAAACAAATTAGCGTATTTCGTAGATTTCTTTAGATGCCAAAATGCCAAAAAATATACATTAAGTATAATGTTTTCATGAACAAAATCGTTCGTTATCATTCTTTATCATTATCATTCTTTTCAAGTTCCAATAAATCCAGTATTATTATATTGGATCAACTAAATTGGATAGAAATTCTTAAATCTATAAAAGATAATCCGTCGAAAAACTCATTAAAGTCAATGAAAAACCTGAAAATAATAAAAATAATTTGTATAATAATAATAATAATATAAAATATTTTTATATAATATTCTTTTGAATACCTCGGCAAATGGAGTCGTTCAATGGAAAATCGAAGAATACTTGCATTTATTAATTCAAGCAGATGATTGCACTTGTCGCCCTGCTTGATTGTTTTCGAATAAATAAATAGTTCCATTTTTGGACTTAAATCAGTAGATCAACGAGGAAATTAAATTTATCGCTATTATGTCGATGCTAATGATGGGCGTCTTCTCCTAACTATTCAGCACAATGTTATTAAGGGCGAGCTTTTAGGCTTCTATTCATCAGATTGTTCCTCGTTCTGTGGATCTATATTATTGAGAAAATATCGCCGACAAGTACCATGAAAGAATGAGTTCTAAATTTTCAAATTTTATAATCAATTATAAATGGCCAAAATGATAAAATTGTACAATGGAATCGGAAACTGTAATCAATTGGAGATAATTTTTATTACTGCTTTATTTATTGTTTTATTTATTATTTTTATTATTTTATTATTTTTATTAAGTTATTAATTAAAAATTAATTTAATAAATAAATGTTTATTTAATAAATAAAATTATTTAATAAATTTATTCAATAAATAAAAATAAATAAATAAAATAAATAAAAATTAATTAATTGAAAATTTTTTTTTTCCATTTTCATTTTTTCAATTCGTTTCTGCTATGAATACTGAAAGAATAATAGGAAAATCAAAATTGCAAAATTATAAATAATTTAGAAAATTATAAAAAAAATGAAAATATCATTTATCATTCAATCATTTATTCATTTTATCATTCATTATCGAATCTCAAGTGCTGAAGTTGATTTTTTCTTAAAAATT